CCAGGTGCGCATCCAGGGCAAAGTGTACACGAACGATCGCGAGCGCGCAGCAGCCCTCCTACAACAACGGACCCCAAACTCCCCGCAACCGCAGCCCCTCACCTCGGACGAGATCGCGAGCACCTTCCACTACGTCGGCATGAGCGGCTACGGGGAGTGGTACCCGCTCCACGCGGGGGCGCTGGTGAACATCTCCCAAGACATGATCCTGGGCCGCTGCTACGAGCCCGACGCGATGCAGCTGCTGTTCCGCTCGCCGGCGCTCCGCTACGATCTGCACGGGGTGCTGCGCGGCCGGGCGTACTCGCGGGCGACCGACGAGCGCATCCGCGCCGGCAAGCGCTGGTTCTGGGGCGATTTCCGCACGCAGACGCTGGCGCTCGACACGCTCAACGGCGAGGACGTGGGCCACTACAGCGACGTGCGCGACGTCAAGATGTGGCGGGCCAATCTGCGGGTGATCGACGGCACGGCCAAGGCGGCGGACTTCCGCGATGCGAAGATCCCCGGCGATGTGGGCCGGCCGTCGACCAAGACGGCGTCGAATTTTGCGAAGGTCGGCAAGCTCAGCAAGCTGGTCAGCACGGGGTTGGGCGCGGTGGACAGCAGTGCGCCGGCGAGTTCGGCGGAGGATGGCGATGGCGATGGCGATGGCGGGACGAGTGCTGTCTCTGGTGGGGGGGAGAGTGAGTCCGAGCAGGAAGATTACACGCTGCGGATCGATCAGTTACGGGGTGGCACCGAGGAGACCGAAGGAGGGGACTACGTTCCTGGGCTGGCGCAGCCGCAGAACAAACGCGCGCGCATGATGGGAGATGAGCATGTAGCGTAGCATTTCCAATCTTGACTGCCGTCCCAACCAACACAGAATAACCCAAAGCCCCCCTCTACCTATCCATGATATCCATGAACCTCCCACTAATACGTCCTCGCCACGACCCCCCTCGCAAAATCCGCAAACGAGACCCCGGGCTGCACCTCCTCCTCCAAATTGGGCTGCGTAAACACCGCCAACGTATTCCTGGCGATCCTGCGGCCGTCCAGCCCCGTCCGCGCGCCCTTGACAAAATGCGGCACCGCGCGGAACTGGCCCCGGGTGATCAGCTGCAGCGCCTCGCCCGTCTGGAACGCCAAACAGTCCCGGGGGATGTTGACCTTGACGATCTGGCCCGTGCGGGACTTGATATACAGGCCGGCCGAGGGATCCGGCGACGCCGGCAGTTCGTGCAGTGGCGTCCCACTGTCCGCCAGGTTTTGGTCCGCCTCATCCACAAACATCGCCGACGTCAACCCCGTCAAACAGCTGTGGTCGAGGTGCGTCGCGCACCAGTCATCATCACCCTCACCCTCAGCCTCAGCCCCAGCCCCCTCTACTTCTTCTTCCGGCGTGGTGGTCGGAAAATAATGCAACAGCCTCGCCTTCGTCGTCAAACTGCCCCGCACCACCTTCTCCAGATACCCCGGCACATAGCCGGAGACGTTCTCGACCGCGAACCGATCGCACGCGCGCGCCACCAGCGCCGCGGTGTCGATGATCAGGCTACACAACTCGCGGACGCTGGGCTCGAATGACGGGAGGCTTGTCGGGGCGGGCCAGATGTTCGGGGCTGTGTATTCGCTCAGATCGGGGTGGTGGTCGGCCGGGGCGCCTTGCAGGTCGGGCGACTGGTGGAAGGCGCAGTTGAGGTAGTAGCTGCCCTTGTGGGTGTCGTAGACGCCGGGCCGCAGGGTTTCTTTGCCGTGCGACCAGCCGACTAGGTATTTGGCTGCGGCGGAGGTGAGGGTTTCTGGTTGAGGAGTTAGAGAGGTGGGGTGCTTTCAGAAGAGAGGGGGAGGGGGTTCAAGGGCGCACCTAGTTCTTCCTGCGGGAGAGCGGCGAGGTAGGAGGCGTTCGAGAGGACTTGGGCGCGCAGCGGGGCGAAGTTCGCGGGCAGGTCTTTGACGATGATGATGCCTAGGGAGGAGGGGCCGAAGGCTTCGGTTAGGGTGGCGAAGGTTATGGTTCCTGGGTTTTGTGGTTAGGTTTGGGTGGCTTTGGTGGGTTTGGTGGGTTGAGGGGGGAATCGTGAGGGGATGTATGCTATCGCGCGCACGATGGATGCTGGTGGATGCTGATGTACATGTATGCCTAGTGCAGGGTAAGGTCCAGCTTACCATCAATCAACTCCTTCAGGCTCACGGTCACGGCCTGGCCTTGCGGGATGTTCTCGAGAGTCATGGTGAGGTCGTCTTGATTCTGTGATCCGACAAAATACAGACTGCGAGAAGGAAACAAAAAGAAAGAAAGAAAGAACAAAAAAAAAGGATGATTTCCCCAGACAAAAATTTGGCTCGGCCCGCTCCGATGCCCGCTTATCAACGGCTTATCGGCTGTCAGCCCATTCTTTGCCGAGGATGATACAGATACAGATACTGTATACTCATTGGCATGGGGTGGACGGAGATATCTGGCGATAGGAGAGATCTGGATATATGGTATCTATGGGTAAAGTTTGTGGTAATGTACAATAGAGGGGTGTAGCTGACGAACATCCCTTATAGAGAGGACTAAACCTTCTCAACAGCCTCCTCCTCCTCCTCCTCCTCCTCCTCGCCAACCTTCTCAGTCTTCTCAGACCGACGAGTGACCTGCCGGAGATTGCCAAACGGAAGCACGTCACTGATCTTCTTGGCCCCCGTGAACAACATGCACAGCCGATCAATCCCGCACCCCCAGCCTCCCGTCGAGGGCAATCCCCATTCCAGCGCCTCGAGGTAGCTCTCGTCGATCTCCTCAGTCTCGTTGGCCTCCTTGCTGAACCGCACCTGGTCCTCGAACTTGCGCCGTTGCTCGAAAGGAGAGTTCTCCTCCTCGTAGGTGTTCACCACCTCCCGGCCCTCGATGAACAGCTCGGCGCGCGCGGCAACGCGCTGGCCGGTCGTCGGGTCGACGAAAGACTTGGACAGAGGGGACAGGCATTCGGGCGGATTGATAATGAAGGTGGGGTCGATGCACTGCGGCTCGACATATTTGCTGCAGAGCTCGTCCAGGAGACGCGGGAGGGTTGGACTTGAGGGTTCGGGGAGGGAGAGGTCGCGATACAGTTCCTTGACCTGCGCTAAGGCATTTGGCGAAGTAAGCTCCGGCAGTTTGCGGCCGATGGCCTCCTCGATTCCGGTGATAAAGTCGATGCGACGGAATGGCGCAGTGAAGTTCGCCTCGGTGGGAGTGAACGTGTTATTGGTGTTCACCTCGTCGATGCGGGTTGACAAGCCCGAGAGAAGCTTCTCCGTAATGGAGATCAGCTCTTCCAGGTTGGCATAGGCGTGATAGAATTCACAGGTAGTAAACTCCGGGTTGTGTGTCTTGTCCAGTCCTGAATTCCCGCTGTCAGCACTCTCGCCCACATCGAGGTCCACGCGAACATCCCCTACCTTCGTTGCGGAACGAGGGCCCTATCTCAAATACTCGATCGAACCCTCCAACGACCAACCGCTTTAACCACAGTTCCGGCGCAATGCGCAGAGACAGCTGCCGGTCGGGAAACTCGGTGGCAGATGTGTGAAAGGGGCGTGCAATTGCACCCCCTGCTACTGCCTCGACAATCGGTGTGTTGACTTCCATAAAGTCTCGGTCGACGAAGAACTGGCGAACATATTGGATGATAGCCGACCGGGCGCGGATGATGTCTGCCGTTCGCTGATCGGCCAGGAACTGAACATGACGAGGATATGGGGAAGTCTCGTGCTTATGGGCGTCCAAAGGCACATCGTGCAGACAAGGCGAAAGCAGTTGAGGCAGTTGAGTCGCCAGGATGGTGAGCTCGCCTCGTCCGGTGCGGTGAGGCCTACCGGTTACGGCTGGGGGAGAACGTTCAGTCGAGGACCGAAGGAATACAACGGGTGTACTGGTAGATGGAACATACAGAAGGCATCGCCCCGGCGAAGCAGCCGCGAAAAATCTCTGAAGTGTTCGGGAGTCACCCCTTCCAATTGACGGATATTGCACATCACTTGCACTTTATGGCCATTTTGCGACATGTCGAAGAAGATCAACTTGTTGCCAGCCAGTCTAGAGGTACGTATCCTACCTACTGATCTAAGTACGGAGACAACATGTGGTAGAGCGCCAGCGGAGGCAGAGACCTACCATGGACAACAACCGTGTCTCCTTCTACTTCATTATAATCTAGGTGGCAGTAGCGGTCCCGAAACTCCGCCGTGCTCATGGAGTGTTCATTGCTCTCAAGCCGAGGATATGCCTCGGAAAGTGTCTTCTGGACCTCCTGCAGACGCTCCTTGAAAGCTCTTTCCGGGGAGGCTGCGCTGCTGCTATGCCTTGGGGCACTGGCAGCAGCGAGGCGCTGATTTACTCGAGCAAACTGGCCATTGGCCTGCAGAATCTGTGTACGGGTTGAGATGGGTGCTCCTGTACTGAAGATGCCGTATTAGCAATTGTACTTGATGAGTAGATGCAAGCGTGGCAGAGAACAAAAAGGTATTGAATTCAGATGACATTAGTCTTCCAGTTGCGCTCATTACTTGGAGGTTTCCCTCCAAGCATTCAGTGCAGCGGTTCTGAGAAATGGAAGGGTATGTCTCATCATAACGAACAATTGCAAGGCAGAAATAGTGCCGCTTAGGCCAACTCACCTAAACAGACGCCTTCCGGCTCTCAGCCGCGATGCCCACTGCGGGCGGATGGATTGCATTGAAAAGAAGAAAGACCAAGGACTACGTGCTCACATCATTTGCAGCAAGACGGGAAAGAAAACAAGAGCAGGTTGTGTGCGGAAGAGAAGCAGGGGAAAAAGGCAGCCGACAGAAAATCCTGAGGCGGTGAGAGGCAGGAAGCCCGCTCCGACTTTCCTTCCGCTCCCGGAGCTTCAAACAAGCAGAGCGAGAGAGACTCTGGAGTTCCAACTATACAACTCTTAACCTTGTTTGATCTTCAAATGTGAGCGCCATGCTTCCCAAGGCTTCTCTATCGGCTGCCAGATCTTGCTAACCTATACTTCTAGCTTACCCCACCTCTCACACCCCCCCCCCCCATCATCACAATGTCTTTCCTCTTTGGCGGTGCCCCCAAGATGTCCTCGGAGCAGAAGATTGCTGCCGCTGAGACCGAGGTGGAGATGATCTCCGACATGTTCAACCGGTGAGTCGACCGATGAACCTGAGCCTGAAAGCTCTGCGTGAAGCTACCCTTCCAGCCCTCGATGACCGCCCTCTCCACTCTCCCGGCTCCATACACCATCTGTCGCCGGCATGAAACTGACCACCGATAATCAACTAGCCTGACCGAGTCCTGCACCAAGAAGTGCATCCCCAACGACTACCGCGAAGGCGATCTCAACAAGGGCGAGTCTGTCTGCCTCGACCGCTGCGTGTCCAAGTTCTTCGAGGTCAACATCAAGGTCAGCGAGAAGATGCAGGGTGAGGCCGCCAACCGACAGGGTGGCATGGGCATGGGCATGTAAACTGTTGATTGATATACTCTGGGGCTCAAAACTGTTTCCATTTATGTATTTGTATCATTGATTGGGTCTTTTCTTTTCTTTTTCTTTTCTTTTTTTCCGGGGAAAGTTGTGCGTGCATATCGTCAGGATTTGTTGCGCTACGTTTGCCCGTGATGACATGGTTCTGGCATTTTGGATGACATTGTCTCTCGCATAGAAAGTGGGAATGGTCTTTGGGATCAGATAGCATTGGGAATGAAATCTATCCTGGATGTGAAGGGTCTGTCTTTATTGCTCGTGTCCAGGTAGAGCTACTGCATTAGTTAACATCGAGCATGACATAAGATGTGGCTGGGACGCTTGGCTGGGCCGCTGAGCTGTGGCTGACCGGTAGGCAGCTGCGTTTGATGCACCGTTAGTGGCGTCCATTGTTCTAGAAGCCAGTCCGGATAAGGCAATACGAAGCTCTTCAGACAACAGAGACTACAGAGTTCTAAACCATGTTATTCTTAGAACTCTTCAAAATCTGGATCTTACTGAGTCGAGTTGATTAACCGTCTCAATCAAACCCTCGGCTCACCGCTCACCGATAAGTTGCACCGGAAATCCCCTTGTGACGTCGTTGGCTGCAATGCCCGGCAACCAAAAGGGAATGAACGCACTGCACCGCACCGCACCGCACCGCAACAACCACCCGCTTCGCGGCCAACAACGCCTGTGCTTTTCTTCCTTTGCCCTTCCTTTCACCCTCGCCAAATATATCCTCACGGGATGACATGGACTGACGGCCCCTAGCTTGGCACCTCACGTTGAAGCTTGAGGCTCCATCGGCGCCCCCATCCGCCCCCCTCATCCAGTTTCCCGGATATGTCAATGGCACTTGCTTTCTTCATCGCTGGTCCAACTGAGAAAACACCCCTGGAGGGTTAACCATTTGGTGTCGCGTTCTTCTTTTCACTCTTACCGCGTTTGATCTCTAGTTCCCTGGCCGGTTCTACAACGCTCGTCTCATCGCTACCCCCCCTCGCCCAGAGATCGAATCTGTACTCATCCCTTATGTGTTAGGGAAGCTGGTACCGTTTATCACACACCATGCCACCGTCATCTCCCACGCAGACCGGTGGGCCTGCCACGCCTGCTGCAACAGCAGCACGAGAGCCGACCAAAATAGTACCGAAAGAGAGTCCGCTCGTGCAAACGACCGGCCCCGACGGACAGTCGCCGCCTCCGCGGCCGGGCCACCAGAAACTCGTCTTCACCGATCCGGTTGCCTTCCGCTACCTGGAGGAGGACCCGGCGACCATTGTGCTACATCGGCGAATGACTCTGAGTGGGTACGAGGTCTACATTGTTGAGCAATGGGCGTGCACGCGGATCCATCCGACTTTCATTATTACGACCTACACCGGAGATCCGTCGCACAAAGTCGCCGTCGGGGTGCTGAGCGTCCCGACGGATGAGTCGACGTGGTCTCCCCGTCTGCGGCTGTACTTCAACGCTGTGGTGCAATGCCAGGCCCAGAAGCGAGACACGCCCCTGGGGACGCTGATGGTCACCGATCTCAGCATCTTTCCGTGCGCCCTGGCACTCATACCCGTCCCGGACGGCGATGTCCTCAAGCACAAGGACGATTTCATCGTCAATGAAAATCTGAAGAGGTTAGGTTGCTCGGGCCGTGCTAGCTTGAAGCTGCAGCCCCCGTCGCCTGCTACCGAAGCCAAATTCCACCAACTCTACCGGACCAGCGAAAGAGTACCCCTGTATAGTGCCGTGGTGGAACTGGTGAAACAGTGCCAGATCGCCTTGATGATGTTCGGCAACCTGGCGCCGGAGTATGTCGACGGCCTGCTTTGTGATATGACCGAGGCGGCCATAGCCGATTGGTGGACCGAGATTGGGATGGACTTGTACAACATCGAACCCAGCGACAGTATGCTAGGCCCCATCTCGGTCTCGGCTCTTCTCGGAACCCTCATCGGGGCCCGGAATCGGCTGCATGCGTTCGGTGCCCCCGTTGGCAAGGACGCGTTCGATATCCCGAACCTCAAACGGGGGATCGGGAGCTTCCAGAAATCACAGAAGATGAAACGAACCAGACGGCTGGACCGCCAGACCCTGGACCGATTACATCGAGCCACTGCGAAAGCTGCGAATGCCGAGGGCTGGACCGACGCGGTGAAGTCGACGGTGGCCGAGCTGAGCGGGCATGGCGGTGAGATGGTGATGGGGATGGTTCGGGGTCGCGAAAAGGGCGGGATCGCCGACATCGAGACTCTGGACATTGACACCTTTGCGCGTCTGGTGAAAGGCGAGAGGGCAAAGTGGCTGTGGAGGGGCAAGCCACGCAAGGGTGCCATCGGCGAGTCGTTCGGTGGCGGCCCGGGCGCAGCGGACATGCTTTTCACCAACGATGAGCAAGGCGGCTATCTTTGGACGACGCGGAAGAGACATTCTCAAGAGGACATGACCGTGGATCGGCAGCCATCGGAGGCGGATCGCCCACGGAAACCTTCCGAATCAGCCGCCACCTTCGACGAGAAGGATCAGAACTTGAGTAGCATCGTGCGGAGAGGCGTGAGTGGAAAGGTGTCAGACGCGCGAGCGGGATTTGGCAGATTCAAAGATGCGGTGGGCCTGCGATCCCATCCGTCGAAGCATCCGCGGGAGGGGCAGTATGGCTATGGCGATTCGTCTCACCTGCCTCCGATTGACAGCGACACCGAACCAAATCCGCCGAAAAAGCCCGATGGTGATCCGAACCCTGCAGAGCAAGGAAGCATTTACGAGTCCGAGGGCCGAGCTCTCAACGAGGATGCCGCGGCTGCCGAGTCTGTACCAAGCATGGTGCCCCCACAATCACCCGAAGCAAAGACACCCGCAATCACGGTGGAGGCCGTTCCGGACACTGCCGACTCGGAGTCTGCCCGCAAGGTCCCAGTCTTCCAGCCGCCGTCCGAGGAAGAAGTGCCCGACGAAGACTCCCGCCGGAGGACCCCTTCGACCGACGTCTCCGCCGACCGGGAGCGGACGCCCGACATTGGGATCATGTTGCTGCGCCGGCCGCGGAGCTGCGCCCAGCTGCTGGGCCCGGAGACGAGGGCGAACCCCGAGCGGACCGACGACCACTGGCCCCGGCATCTGTCCTTCAGCACCGTGGAAGAGGTGGTGCTCGGCTGGGACGGGGTCGGCGGCAGCAGCAGCAGCATCCAGGAGCGGCCCGACGCTCCCCTGGAGGAGGCGATCCGCCACGAGGACGTCCTCGCCTCGGACGCCCGCCTCTTCAGCGCCCAGATCCGCGAGCTGAGCGAGCAGACCGCCCCCTGGGTCGAGCAGCAGGTGACCTCGGTCGACGACCTCAACCGCTGCCTGCACGAGAGCTACGAGAAGATCAACGCCGCCTACCTGGAGCGGCTCGCCGTCTTCCAGCAGCTGCGCGGCAAATCCTCCGACCTGCTGACCGAGGAGCACACCCACCTCACCGACTACATGCGGCGCGTCGAACTCATGGGCGCCAAGCTGGACTACGAGCTCCACGTCCTCGAGTCCAAGGTCGAGGATGTCGAGGCCGGCCTCGGCGAGTTCGAACGCCACGTCGCCGACGTGGAGACGAGGGTCCGGTTGCTGGTGCGCGGGGAGAGGGAGAAGGACAAGCAGGGTAGCAGCAGCAGCAGCAGCAGCAACGGTGGCTCCTGGCTATCTTGGCTGGGCAAGTTGGCTGGTCTGTAGAGCTGACTTGCGTTGCGTTTGAGTCCACGTTCGCGTTCAGCGGTGGAGGAGAATCGTGTCCGCTTCCGTGTGTAATAAGTAGGTATCTTCGCTGTATTTGTTCCAGCACCTCGAGTTGTATACCCCCTGTTTATTGTAGAAGAGAGAAATTAAAGGCAATCAAATGAAAAGCAGATGCTAGTATATACCACATTTGTGTTGTGTTGTGTTGTGTTGTGTTGTGTTCCAGGGGTGTGCCGTAACTCCGAACCCACGGCGGGAATTTATGTTTCCACTGCGTGGTCAGTTAGATATAGTCCGGGACGGCATGGCAACATCTACCGTTATTTGCGAGTTCTTGAAAATTTGAAAGTTCGAAAACCAAGCACCGAAGGAATGCAATATTCCACTCTCCACAGGGCGTTTTCCTGCCAAAAACCTACCCGTGCCTGGAAAACTTCCAGGCTGGCGAAGTTGATCACGTTGGAAGCGGTGGTTGTGAACCGAGGCTGTGATGCGCGTCACTTCGGATGTATATAGACCAACCGGCTGGATAGCGGGACCCCCGCCAAACCACCGGGTTTGTTGGCGCTTGCTCTCAAAAATGACACCCAAAACGAAGGAAGCCGGGGTTCCCTATCCATCTTAGGCGCACATCCGCGTCTAGAGTACCTCGGAAAGATCTGGAGAATCGGAACTGTCTTCGGATTGAAATCATTTGGATGTTTGATCAATGAGATACGAATAGGAAATATGTACACCTAACCCACCCACTCCATCCCTTGCGCTACGCTTCATTAAAGAAATACCGAATATCCAGCCCGACCCAATTCCTGATAACGCCGCAAAGGAACAAGAGACATATAATAATAAAAGAAATACTCGAAACAATGTACGTACTGAGTTCTGACCCCTGGACGCCCGCTGATTACATGGTAAGGAGGAGGTAGTGATATGTACTTACTTGTGGCCTTGGTTTTGATGACGACTCGAACAGGAGAATAAACGACCTAGAGGAACACCTTCCTGGCCTCGCGCGGATGGCTCTCGCTCGGGCAGTAAGGGCATTTGAACCGGCTGCCCTTACACAATCGTTTGAGCGATTCCTCGGCAATGACGTGCCCGCAGGGCATCATCATGGGTGGATTCTCGTCGGTGGTCTGTTCCTTGGAAACGGGACAGACGAAGATGGAGTGGAAGAGGTAGGATGGGGGGAGTGGGATTTCGACCTGCCGGGCGTGAGCGTTATTAGGATTCTCGTGGTATGCGGGGACTTTTTCTTTCTTTCTTTTTTTTTTTTTGGGGGGGGGCATTCTTACCGGCAGCTCGTTCTCGGTGGTCCACTCGGTCCGTTTGGCTTTCATGATGGTCTGGAGTTTCAATAGGGTTGGGAGGGCGATTGCGCCGGCGGTGGCGGCGATGTATAAGGGCGAGTCCGCGGAGAGGCCGAGCAGCGAGCAGAACTCCCGCGTGAACGAGTGTGCTACGTCGGACCATGCCGAGGGGTTGTTGAAGATGCTCCGGTAGGGCGAGTCTTGCAGGTTGGGGCAGAAGGCCATCGCGCCCATGAGCTGCTGCACCTCGCGCAGGTACCGGGGCAGGAAGCCGTGGAACTCGCGGCGGGCGTATGCCAGAGCCGCCTGTCGTCCGGCCGGGGTCGGACCCTGCTGGTCGTGGGCCCCGTGGAAGAGCCAGACGAACTGCAGCCGACAGAGCTCGAACTCGAGGTTGCTCCCCCGCGCCGCCAGCGCCTCGTCATTGTCCCGGGCCCATTGTATGGCGGGCAGTAGGTTGTTGTTCTCTTTCAACTCGTGGAGGATGTAGTACATCGTGGCGAACTGTTTGCGCACCTCGCCAGACGGAACCTCGTCGATGTCGAGGAGGGATGCGGCATTTTCGGTGGCGTTTGCCGTGTTGGCTTGCTTATTCTCCGCGGCCTTCTTTTCCGCCATCTCCGAGAGGAAGGTGGCCGCCACCGAGAACTGCCCTTCCCTCAGCAGATGCATCGCGATGGCCCGGTTGATGAGGTGTTCCTGGGAGGAGAGGAGGTCATGTTCCATGCTCGGGAGGGGTCTGTCTTTGAATAGCTAGGAGGTCTGTCAGCCAACATCCAGGCGGGGGCGTCAAGATCGGACGAATCCGGGCTCGTGCTACCTTGTCCAAGGCCTTCGAGTATTTGTTGAGACCGCTATGGGTCTCTTTAAGACTGTCATTGATGGAATCGAAGGATGCTTTGACCGGATTCTGTAGCTTGGCGAGGATAATCGATGCTTGACTCGGATCTGGTGGTGATCCTCTTGTCAGTATAGTTCGGTGACTGCGGGGTGGTGGGCCTGAGGAGGGAACCAACCTGCAGCAATAGCGTCCCGCGCATTTTGCAATAGATCGATCGAGTGTTGTACCGACTTGAGGCCTTGAGCGGCTTTGGTCTTCTTTACGAGTCTCTCATGTTCTTTCTGCACGAGCTCCATGGTGATGGGGGGCAGGCTCGAGGCCGGGCGTATGAAAGCGGTGTCCGACAGTTACCGCTCTTTGAGGGCGGAGCTGGCAATAGCCATAGATTGGGGATCCCTAAGGCAGGCGTTCGCTTACTGGTGCCTCTGGCGATCGATAAACAAAGGATTTAGGACTGAGGAGACAACTGCAATGTACCGGAGAGTAGAAGACAACCCAGGAAGAGAACGAGGGATCTGGAGGGGGTCACAATGCAATGATGGGCAGGTGAGTGTCCGGAGCAGGTGAGCAAGTTAGCAACCCGGGCCTCCTCTCCGTGGTAATACAACACTCTGCTGTCCCAGCCAATTACGACATGTCACATCACGTGCTACCGGGTCATCGCCGATACCTGCCGTACTGTATTCCAAGCACTGTGCAATACCTGATCTACACCGCAGTCAAATCGTCTTTCTCTTGCGGAGTGTCACCTCAATTGGCGCAGGCTGTAGGTGCCCGACTCGCTCAAGAGGCACTTAGGCCTTGGTTCATTGCAGGTTAAGCCTGACCACAATGACAAGAACCACCCCTGAGCCAGCCAGGTCGAGGCTCAGAAAGTCATGGGATCCAATGGCTGAATTTTCAAGATGGGATGGATGGTTGCCATAACCATTATCTTCTGCTCAACTCGTAGATTGAGTGCCAACGGCTTGTTTCCCACTGCAGGCAGCCTGAGGCCTCACATTGAGGACACGGCAAGGGCCACCAGACACAACCAATCAGAGACCAGAACGCATCTCGCTTCTGCCTAGCGCGGGTGAGTCAGGCTTGGCGGGGGTATATAAGCCTCCCGCCTTCGCCCAACTCTTAGAATCTTTTTTTCTTTTCTTCTCCATCCTGGTGCACGGGTTTTACACGTGTCAGTGAGGAGACATCCGAGACCGTGTTTTTGCTAGTTGAAAACTACTTTTTTGACCGCTCTGACTGGCCTTCGGGTCGGTCAGGAATTTTTGAAAAAAAAAACACTGCTCTGAGCCCTGTTATGTTCTGGGCTCAGTTTTAAGAGTACGTAGATGACTGTATGTTCGCTGTTGTCTCCCTGTGTGAAGCTTGACTTCCACGGGCTGTACTCGCCAATCGGTCTTCTTTTCACTGCTGTTTGCTTCCCTTGTGGAAGCCTGTAGAGAAGAGAGAAGATGATACACTGTGAACTTGAATTCAGTGAAATTATCCACCATGGTTGTGTTGCCTAGTTGGTCCTGTAGTGTGGACGCTTCTCTGGACATGAATCTGTCAGGCGAGTGCTTGTCTGTCTGTGTGAAACCTGCGCCTGGCTGTGAAGTTGTCATCGTACTCCGTAGCTGATTCTGTAACTCGGTTCTATGCATGTTTGATGAGATGCACGCACTGGTCATTTGCGACCTGTCGGTCACCAGCAGGAAAAGGTCGAAATGATAGATCGCGAGATGCCGGCAAGCAGCGGACTGGTGATTTGCTGGGTTGGTGGGCGACCCTCTCCGGTCCACCCCCTTTCCGCCTCTTCTCCCTCAGTCATTGGGCAATGGCTTCACCCGTGACTGCGCGGTCTTTTGGCGATGGAACCTCAACCACTTTACGCGTGCATTACCGGATCTTACGCGTGTGCTGCATGCCCCTCCACCATCCATGCTGCCTTCAGCTGCTGCATCTCAAAGTCTATCGAGTCCCTGTCATCCCAACCTGCAGCAGTTTGCTTTTTACAAGGATGTCGAGTCTAGATGGTTTCTCTTTGTTCGATCTTGCCAATGGGAAACACCCCCCCGTGAGATGCGTGGGGAGGGGAGACTCTCCTTTTCCCCCTGGGACTTGGGACTTCTGCCACTAACTATTCAAGGAAAGACAATACTTACATACAGGTTTCTATTTCACTCATCGTTTCATTGACTTCCAAGGAAGTTCATAACCCTGGAAGATTCCTTCCTACCCTTCATTCATTTGTCGAGCGCTAGACTTTCTTCTCTTTCTCTAACCTGAACTCCCTATCCCCCTCCCTTTTCGCCAACCCCTGATCCACAAACATGTTAGCTCTACAGCAGCAGCAACAACAACAACAACAACGAAGCAGGAGCAGTAGTGGTAGTCCTCGAAATCTCTCCACCAGACGACAACAAGCCCATCCCGAGGCCTTCTCCTCACGATATGGAGCCGGGAAAGCCAGCACACGCGTCCTGAGAACACGGTCTCGCGAACGACAATCGATCACCTCCCGCCGTCTACTACAACAACAACATCGCCGGCGGGAGCCCCCTGATAGTCCCCCAGATGGCAGGTCTGTTTCCCCCATGATACAGTCGCTCTCAGACTTTCACCCAGCTAACCCGCAGCGCTATAGCTCCCTTACCCCAGCGACAGTCACCCTCTGCGTAGGACCCGAGAAGCGTCTCTTCGCTGCTCACCGGGACATCATCTGCGTCTCCCCTTATTTCGCCGCCGTGTGCGCCCGTGCCCGTGCTGCCTCCTCCACAGATCCGAACAGCAACACCTTCAACAATCCCATCTACCTCCCCGACGAACAGCCCGAGATCCTGTCCTGCATCCTCGAATACCTCTACCGAGGCGACTACTTCCCGCGACTCCTGCACAACAAGACTCGAAACACCTGGCAGCTGGAGACGGCCTCATCAACAACGGGGAGTAGCGATGCCGAGCCCGATGGCGCAACCATCTTCCATCCCGGGGTAGGCGCGGAGATCCTGCGAGATACAGCTGTATAGTAAGTGTGCCTCTGTCCCTCTATGTGTTTTGTAACCAAGTATATCCTTTTTCAATCGTGCAATATCCATGCCTACATGTACCGTACAGATTGTATAACCTGTCCACCTCTCCCGCTCCCGCTCCCCCCCCCCCCCCCCCCCCCCCCCCCCCCCCCCCCCCCTAAACACCCTTTTCCCAACCCAACCTCTAGTCCCTCCCCAAAATCCATCTGTATCTCCAAGAGAACCCCTCCCATAAATCCCAAACACCAACCCAAAAAGACTCCCAACCAAACTAATCCCTTTGGATGGAAAACCAGCTGCGCCGCCCAAAAATACGGCCTGGAGACCCTGAAACGCCTCGCCCTCCGCAAGCAGGGCCTGCACGCGGGCATCTCGTGCAGCACCATCCTGACCAGCGCCCGCTACGCCTACGCCCACACGCCGGACACCGAGTCCAAGCTGCGGGCGCACTACCTCGCCCTCATCATCCGGAGCCGGTCGACCTTCAAGCGCAGCGGCACCATGCAGATGGAGATGGAGCAAGGCGGGAAGCTGTTCTTCGATCTGTTCGTCGCGATGTGTAATCATATGGTGAGCCCCCCTTCCTCCAGTGTAAAACGCTCAGGGAAATTTGGGGAGATCTTGTTTGCGGACGCTGACTTTTTCTTCTTGTGTCTGGGATAGGATGATTTGACGGGTTCGTCGGGGAAACAGCAGCAGTCTATGGCGAGTACGATTACGTAGTTTTTTGTCTTGTTTTTTCTTTTTCTTTTTTTTTTTTTTGAGAGGGTGTCTTTATTGGGAATGAGAGGAGAGGTAAGGTACTAGAGATGCCGAGGGTGATCACCTTCCCTGCTGGGTTTTTTCAGGGCTGAGTGGATGCGGCTTTTTAAGTTTTCGGGCACGTGGACTGTAGGACTGTATAACTTCATTTTCGTTACGGGTAAGGCAAGGCTTTGTATAATGTGGGTGTATAACTCAAAAACCATTTACTGTACTTCGGGAAGTTAAGCATGTATGTATTAAAGAGTTATCTCATGCAATTGCTGGATATCTTGGGGGTTTTCCTGCAACAAGGTATACAACGGGGTATCTTCAGCCTGCTAATCTGCATAACTCCAGTGTCTAAAATCTCTCTTCGCGTAAAGTAAGCGTCATGATGCGCGTTGATTAAGATAACCCCATGCCCTCGCGTGTCGCCATCGCGTGGTAGGTAGAGAGAAAGGGAAAGAGATCTTCCAATATGGACCTGGTCGAATGCTGGTGTGCGATTCCTGTTGATCTCATGCCAGGTCGAGTGAGGTAAGATCAGCCGGGAAACCAAGCTGTGACTTTGGCGTGACCAACTGACGGACGGGCCATTGATTCTGAGCAGTGCCGGGTCCGATGCGCCTGTACACGGCTGCTGATGGCGTTTGGATCGAGGCATCGCTCAATCTATGGTCAAAAGTCTCATATCGAGAAAGGTCGAATACAGGGAAGCACAATTTAAACGCCGGTTCCGGGAAATGCGGACCCGCCCTTGCTCAGCACGACCATACCACGTTCGCGCGCGATATATCCCTTCATGAGACCCTAAAAGGCACGTCAGATAGATTCATCGAGCCAAGCGTACTGCATGTGAATCATTGGGGGAAACACTGACCTTGTATATCAAGTTCGAGAGCAGACACTCCACCTCGTCGATATCCACCCGGGACCGCTCGTCTGCATGTGTGCCAATGCGAACCGCAGCTGCGAACTCGGCGACAGGTACTCGGGTCCGGCGGATCGGAGGCTGGCCGTCCTTGGACTCCTCAAAACCTCCGGCGATGAACACCTTCCGGAAGAGGTTCCGCAAGGCGATGTCGCGTCCTCTCTCCAGAGGTAGGTAGATACGGCGTTTGACAAACTCTTCCTCTCCAGCCGACATCGCCGCATCGAAGCCTCCCAGATCGCCTTTCTTGATACAGTTGCATAGTGGACGGTAGAGCTTCTCAAGGCGGGGGAAGGGCGCCAAGAGCTTTTTGCTGGGTAGCGTGTGTGTGGTGACCAAGTGACAAGGGATGAGGTAGGTGAGGATGAGTCTGGATACACATTAGTAGGGAGACCCGGGGAAAGGAGGAGCATACTCACTCCCGGTTCTTCATTGCGCTGCGATGGCACATCCTCCAGGCCTCCGCCAAATGCTGCTCGGCCTGCCACACGTCAGTCTGGGTGGATCAACGACAGGTCTGGGCGCGCATACCTCGGCGTAGTTCTCATCGAGGAAGTGAATGACCCCAACGTAGTATTTGAAGGTGACAGTGTGGGCCTTGGGGAAGGCGTCTAGTTCGGGCAGGTCGGCGGATTGCGCATTGAGAGCACGCAATAAGTTCTTGGATAGGCCGATGGTGTTGAGTTTGAAATACGTCTTGAACAGGAGGTTGGTCGTGTCGTATACCCCCCACTTGCGAGATTCCTCGATCGAAGACCTACAACGATGCGATTAGCAAGATGGCGTCGACCCAAATGTGGTGCCCGATAGCCTACCGGTCAGTAAGGCACAACGTGAACATCCGGTTGAGCACTCGCGTAGCCTCCTCCAGCTTCGCATTCTTCTCTAGACCACTGGCCACGTCGTCTTGGAAGCTATCGCCAAACCCATCGGACTCCTGGGAAGAGAGCTCGGCATCGGCTTTCCTCGCAAAGTGTCGCAAATACCTCCCCACCACATATAGACAGGGGATCGTCCATGCCTGAAGACCGCCCGTTGAGTATCCCCGAATAAGCTGGTTGGCCGTCTCCTTCCACGCATTGAACACCTTGACCCAGCTGGCGCGCGAAGGAGTCTCCTCGAACCGAACCAGCTCCCCGGCAGCGCCCCAGTAGGCCGCGAATATGTCTACCCATGAGTTCTGTTCCTGCTTTGGTAGTCGTATGCCATTGGCCTGAAAGAGGGAATAGCGAAGGTCGGACGACAAACGCGTGGCGTTGGAGAAGTAGTAGAATGACTGTAGACGGCCGGGGTTCGCGGAGGTTGAGACGGGGGTAAGAGCTGCGGCTAGGTGGTGACCAGAGCCAAGTTTCTGGCCATCCTTGAACTCTTCAAAGATTGAGCCCATTTTGAATAGGTAAAAGGTGAAAAATGGGTAGGTATAACAGTCCCGAGCAGCAAGTAGGTAAATACGATACAATATGACAAGCACTCGAGGGGTGGCCGGAACGGTTCAATAAAGCGACGATGAGACTCGATAGACCGTAGACAACAAACGACCCTGCCCGATGATGAAACGGCGATCGGAGAAGGCGGGGAAAAAGAAGCGGATGCCGCCCGCCGAATGACCTTATCTAATCCTCACCGCCACATCCCTGTGGCTGAGGGCCCCGATCAGGAATAGCACCGGCCAAGCCTCACGGTCGCTTAGCCCTAAGGAGGGTTAAACCTAGCTCACAATCAATCCGGTTCCCAAAAATCCTCCCTTCCGCGACGAGTACAACCGGCACATCTCTCGTCGACTAACCACTACAGCGTCAATCAAAGTGAGCCCCCCCTTTTTGTCCCTCTCTTTACTGCCAGGAAATTGTTACTGACTGAATTTACCAGATGGGTGAGTTAACACTTTTTGAATTTTTTTCGACATGGTCCCCTTGGCGGTTCGGCTTTTTTTGCGATGAAATATTTTTGCGATCGATGAACGACACACCACGGAGAGAGAAATCTGCTCGGCCACCATTGAACTTCTTGACACGCGCGAACGGAGGAGAAATGTGACGGGGACTCGGTTTGACAAGGGAGGACAAACAACAATTGAGGAAAGCATGGGCACGTTATTATTTTTTACACGAGTCGCCACTATCCGATCACCCGTACATCAATACTCGAATATTCACCACGCAGACACCAATTCATCGATCAAAGCCAATCTACCAAGGGGACCGCATAGTCAGGTTGTCGGATGGGTTTTCTGACTGGAATCAATAGGGCGTCTCCAAGAGTACCAGGTTATCGGGCGTCACCTGCCCACCGAGGCCAACCCCACGCCCAAGCTGTACCGCATGCGCATCTTTGCGCCCAACACCGTTGTCGCTAAGTCGCGGTTCTGGTACTTCCTGACCCAGCTCCGCAAGGTCAAGAAGGCCAACGGTGAGATCGTCAGCCTCAACGTGGTATGTCTACGATGTCTCCGCAAAAAAGGTCCTATGGCAAGTGTCGGCTGACACTCCACCTCTCTCCAGATCAGCGAGAAGCGCCCCCTCAAGGTCAAGAACTTCGGTATCTGGCTCCGCTATGACTCGCGCTCCGGTACCCACAACATGTACAAGGAGTTCCGTGAGATGAGCCGCACCGAGGCTGTTGAGGCTCTCTACCAGGACATGGCTGCCCGCCACCGTGCCCGTTTCGGTTCCATCCACGTACGTTCCCTCACTCTTGCCTGCTTTCTGGAGGCTCCCAACCACCAATTTCTAACGAACCCCCGCAGATCCTCAAGGTTGTTGAGATCGAGAACGCCGACACCATCCGCCGCCCCTACATCAAGCAGCTCCTCACCAAGGACCTCAAGTTCCCCCTGCCCCACCGCTCCGTCAAGCCTGGCAAGAAGCTGTACGCTTACTCTCGCCCCTCTACCTTCGCGTAAATGTGAGGATTTGGGTGTGGGGAAGTGGAGTGTAGGAATGAATGACTATGTTATGGCCATAGCATGCACGAAGGACACGGATCACGCGGAGAACAAGGCGTGTATCTACAACCCAGAAAATGGGACGGATGGTTTTTATGTCTCTTTAGTAGTCCTCTGCAGCGACCCTTTCAAGTTATTTCACAAAAATACCGGGGTTATTTCTTTTTTGTTCACTCAACCTACCTTTCTGGTTCTGTGGGTTCGTAAATCTTCATCCTTAAAATGGACTAAGATAATCTATCCGTACGTGATCAAATTTTGATGGCGGGTGGCTAGAACAGTCGGCCTCGACGTGTTGGCCCGTCTGAACCTCTCCGCTCCGTGCGGTTCGAGCACTTGGGCGCTGTGTGCTTGCCCACGCCAAGTCCGGGGTCAGATCTTGATGGCAAGGTGACAGCAGAAACAGCAATCAAGGCCCAGCTCGGATCTATGCATAGTGGGTACGAGAACTGGCACATCCGTCGGATGAACATATGGGAGGATGTGGGAAAAGACATTCCGGGCTTGACATCATCCACCTTCCACCCTTGATCCGGCTGCAGGATGCAGATAGGAAGACAGCCACTTGGTCGTTCACCGTTCGATGAGCACGCCATCGGCCCAGTCTAGTGGTTGTGCACTGCTTCTGTGGGTGAACATGCACGGTTACGTATCCAATTGAGGCATCAGCAGCCGTACGTCTTCTTTGGATGAGCCCCTAGGTAGCCATTCTTGTTGCCTCAAAGTCGATTCGGACGTAGATATAATCGGGTCCGGACTGCTGTATATCGAATGCCGAGATTGCAGTTTGCCAAGGACTATATCCGTTATTCCAGAATCGAGAACCAACGGCATACTGGCCCCGAGGACACACAAAGATGACTGCTCTATGTGCAAATCACAAAAGAGCCTTAATAAATGAAGCGGCACGTTGTTTCTTAGTCTCAGGTATGCGAAGATACACACAATGCCTGGAAAATTGCCTACCATGATCCGACCCCGATTGCCGGGGCTGGGTTAGTAATACACGCGGAATAACCGTCAGGAACGGACATTGCGTCATGTGCGAGAACGGCGCTTCGGAGTCCGTGGAAGTTGAAGGGAGGATCTCAAATAACTCTCTCACCCGTCCGAGCTTTTCCCTACTCTCTCCACACCCATCCCCCCCCCAAACAGTCCCATTGAGCGCGTATTTGTCCTCAATCCGACTTTCAAAATGTTCGCTCGTCAAGCTTTCCGCTGCTCTCAGTCTCTGAAGCAGGTAGGCACTTCCATCCGAAAGATTGTTGTGTCTAGCGGTCGCAATTTTTTCCGCCCGTTCCTGGGACCGACCCTCCCCCAGGAAGAATGAATTTGCGCTGATTACTGTTTCGACAGGGCTTCCGCAAGTACTCGACGGAGGCACCCAAGGCCAAGGCCTCCTTGGCTCCCATCTACGTCGGTGTCGGTCTTGCCGGTCTCGGTGTTGGTCTGTACCGCTACAACTCGGCCTCCTCTGCCACCGCCGAGGCCCCCGTCGTCCGCGAGAAGGTTTTCAAGGGAGGTGACCAGGGATGGTTCGACCTGAAGCTGTCCGAGATCGAGGTTCTCAACCACAACACCAAGCGCTTGCGCTTCGAATTCGAGGACAAGGAGGCTATCTCTGGTCTTCAGGTTGCTTGTGAGTAGAACGAGAGCTCCACTACTGTAGAAATCTTGCAGACGACTGATGTGTTCCGTTAGCTGCTCTCTTGACCAAGTTCAAGCCCGTCGATGCTAAGGCCGTGATCCGCCCTTACACCCCTACCAGCGATGAGGGTTAGTGGCGCGCTCTCCCTTGCTTTTTTTCCTGGTGGGAATACTGACCCTGCATATGCAGAGACCCCCGGGTACATCGACCTTGTCGTCAAGGTCTACCCCGACGGAGCCATGTCCAACTACCTGCACAACATGAACGTCGGCCAGCGTCTGGACTTCAAGGGCCCTATCGTCAAGTACCCCTGGGAGACCAACAAGCACAAGCACATCACCCTGATTGCCGGTGGTACCGGTATCACCCCGATGTACCAGCTGGCCCGTGAGATCTTCAAGAACCCCGAGGACCAGACCAAGGTCACCCTTGTGTTCGGCAACGTGACCGAGCAGGACATCCTCCTGAAGAAGGAGTTCGAGGAGCTCGAGAACACCTACCCCCGGCGCTTCCGGGCCTTCTACATCCTGGACCAGCCCCCCAAGGAGTGGACCGGCGGCAAGGGCTTCATCAGCAAGGAGCTCCTGAAGACCGTCCTCCCCGAGCCCAAGGAGGAGAACATCAAGATCTTCGTGTGCGGTCCCCCCGGCCTGTACAAGGCCATCAGCGGCCCCAAGAAGAGCCCCGCCGACCAGGGCGAGCTGTCTGGTGTCCTGGCCGAGCTGGGCTACAGCAAGGACCAGGTGTTCAAGTTCTAAGCCAGCTGTGTATGATAAATATGAAGCTCTCTCTGTTTCTTTTCGGCGATTACTGTCTCCCACGGGGAGTTGAATGTGGACCCTTTGCGGGGGTTTAGAAGGCACGTCCTTGTTATATTAGAGACCTTGGATCTAGCGAGCAGTGATTTTTTTCCTGCGAGTAGGCGCGAAATGATATACCTAGCCTTGATCTTCGAAGACATTTGTTATGTGTATGACCGCAGTTTTGCTCTGCAGATACCGCTCTCGGATGACCTCGAATTCTTCAGCATGACTGTAACCAAAACCCTTTGCTGAGTGATCTCAGCACACTTCGAGTCTCGATGCACTGTACAGTACTCACTAGTTCAATTCTATTGCCATTGAAAGGTATTCCAAATAAACAATACTACTTCTAAAATAACTCTGTGTGTCTCATAAGCCATATATGAACTAGGTACGTTGCGACATGGACAGCAGACCTGGGCCGCGGGTCTGAGCTGGGGGAGGGGGAGTGATGCTGCGCGGGGCAGTGTTTTGGCGGGGGGGGGGGGGCGGTAGCACCCATAGACAAGATATAACTAACTATAAGTTACTATTCCGTCCTCACCGACAAGTCCAGCTGTGTCAGTCACCCAACTTCCAACTTAACGACGAATCCCATCTTGGTAGCATTTTGAATAAGTACGTACTAGGGTTAATCACAACAATGGAAAATTATAGTCCCTAGGAAAACTTATTCACATGCCTACATTGTACATACCCCAATGCGACTGGTTTTACGGAAGGTGGTTTCTATTCCAGTTGGTGGTGGTCATGGAGGAACTCGAGACTGAGAGCGAGGTGAAAGGTGCGGGTGCGTGCGGGGTACTCGTACTGTACCAACCTAGCGGACGCGCCCGGGGCTAATGTACGGCGAGTACCAGCGGTGAGGTGAAATTCGAACCGGAGTTGCTGGTGGACATGGACAAAGAGATGAGGACACGAATTAACTATAGTTCTTCTTTGATCCTCGGGATTATTGAGCATGGGCGTGTATTATCTGGGGACGGCTTGTGTTTTTTTTTTTTTTTTTTCTTTTGGTTGAGTGTATTCGTTGACTGTACTTTTGATGATCGTTATTCTTTGTGGAAGTCAATTGTTTTGTTCTATGGGGGGTGGACAGAAGAAATAGGCGTCAGCGCGACGTAGCCGCGCCTAAATCCATCAGATATATCATGTTTGTTTGTGGTGGGTGCTTTGGGCGGGTAGGGGGGCGAGGGGGAGGGGGGAGGGTAAGCGAGAGGAAAAGCAAGCCAGGCCTTCCATTGTTCTGCGGGTAGGAAAGGGAGGCTGTTGTGCTGTGGCCACGGGGACTTAGGGACTTGGGTGTCCTGGGTAGTGGTGGGTTTCAGCGGGTTTCAGCGGGTTGCTGAGCAGCTGAGACTGGAGGGGGTGCGAGTGTGAGTGAGTTTCCGAATGGGCCCGAAACCGTTACTGTTTGTGTGTGCTGCAGGACGCTATTAGCGACAAACCTGACGGGGGGAGGATTTGGGGGGGGGTTGCTTGTTGGTAAGTTGTTAACAAGTGTTTAGGGGAGTTAGGGAGGACGGCGGCTCCCGCTGCTTACACTGCTTACCCTAGGGTGAAGGGTGCTCAGGGTGCTCAGGGTGCTCAGCCCCCCAACCCTGAAGAAAAGGACTCTCAGCGCTCGGCCAGAGCAGACTCGAAAGTTGGTGTCTCCTAAGCCCAAAGCAGCGTCCCCCCCCCCCCCTCCCCGGGCCATCGGCCCATCACTATTTAGAAGGGAGTCTTCCCGCTAAGCTCGGGACTCCGCTAGCGAATTTTCTTCCTTCTTTTTCCTTTCCTTCCCACCCTCCCGTCTCTCTTCCCACACTTTCTTTCCTTTCTTCCCACTCTTCCCACTCTTCCCCCTCCCACCAACCCCCCAAAACTGCACATCTCTCCACCACCTGTCCTCCCAACACCCCCTCCCCCCTCCCAAACGTTCAGAAGTCGCGGTATTCGCCACCACCCGTTTGTCGCATCATGTCGCCTAAGGAGGATTCCAAGGCCAGTGATGCCACTATCACTGTCAATGTAGATGATTTCACGCGCACTCGCGATAATGTAAGTTCCTTGCTGATTTCTTTCATCTTTTTCTTGTTTTGATTGCCTGGTGAGCGGTGGGCGCTCCTCCCGGCTGCCCCCCAACCCGGGCGACTTGGGCCGCCGCGCTCCTCTCAACCATCGCCTACGCGTCAGTAAACAACGCGGCGCTTCCCTGATGCAAAGTCGAGAGTCGGGAAGGCCTGCTTGATTCGAATTCCATTTTGTTACACAAGCCATCCATTCATCAGTGGGCTTGTACCCTGCCTAGGCTCCTCAGCCCTCCTCTGACTTTGCGCGCCACCGCCTCTTGCTTTGTTTGGCATTGGCAATGCTTGCTTGCCACGGCCCGATGCGCCCCGCCCCGGCGCATCGCATCCCTCCTTCACCGCAAGCTTCACCCCCAATTGTCACTCGTTCAATAACGCCCTATCGCAAACATGTCTTTGATTCAGCATTAATCTAACAATCTCCTAGGTCATTGCCAGCCTCGCGCAACTGGCCAAAGCGGTCACCACCGTGCAGGAAGCTTACATCAACCATGCCAACACTGTCCTGGGCCGGGATCCCGTTCCTCTGCTTGACCTGAGCCACCTGACCAGCGGCATTACCGGCGCTCTCTATGGCTCTGGTGCTCGCGGCACGAGCCCTGGCGCGAACGCGGACACGGATGGGAAGAAGAAGCGCAAGCGCGCTCCCCCGGACCCGAACGCTCCCAAGCGCGCCCTGACCCCCTTCTTCCTCTACATGCAACACAATCGCTCCGTCATTGCTAAGGACTTGGGTCCCAACGCGAAGCCCAAGGAGGTCTCGGACGAGGGTACCCGCCGCTGGGCCGAGATGGAAGAATCCGAGAAGGAGGTATGTTGCTGCCCGTCTGCCATTTACTATCCATTCCCCCGAGAGGACTAGACTAATAGTGCGGGTCAGATCTGGAAGAACCTTTACGCGGATAACCTGGCTGAGTACAGGAAAAAGGTAGTGGCCTACAAGGCTGGACTGCCCTATGAGGATGACCTCAAGGCTGAAAACCAGCTGCACCAAGGCATGGAGACCGGGGAGCCCTCGGATGAGTCGGAAGAAGAGGAAGAGGAGGAGGAAGGGGAAGAGGAAGAGGAAGAAGAGTCCTCCCCGGAGCCTGTTCGGGAGCCCACTCCGCCGCGCAGCGGTAAGCGCCGCCGCAGCGAGGGCAAGCCTTCTCTGACTAAGGAGACCGCGACCCCCAGCGCCAAGAAGGAGTCCCCCGAGAAGAAGAAGCGTACCTCTGCCCGGAAAGAGAAGGAGACGCAAGATGAGCAACCCCCCGCCTCGGCTCGCAAGACCGCGAGCGCCGAAGCTAAGCGCACCAAGAAGAAGCGCAAGAGCGAGGTTGGCAATGAGGAGTAAATCCGGTCCCGAGGGATCTGTTTATATCGGGACGATGACCATGTATATGGGATGGGATGGGATGGGATGTTTGATCTGAATGTTGCATGTAGCATATGGGGATTGGATCTATTTCTGGATTGATGCGCTCTCTTATGGAATGTCGATGCTGTTGCTGTGCTGTTGCTGTGCTGTTGCTGTGCTGTTGCTGTTGCTGTTGCTGCTGGGTTTGTTTTGCGGGCCTGATGTCAACGGAGTCTGCGGATTGACGGGTGGGGTTATTAGTGGGTGTGTTTGTCTTTTTCTTTCCCTTTCAGTTTAAATCATATTTTTTTTTTCTTCATGATTTTTTCTATTTCTGTTAGCTTTGAGAATTTATAAGAGCTTCTTATGAACGTGAGAAATGGCAGTGGCCGGTGACTGCCGATGGAATCCACAGCTTGACTGGAAAGCGTTAGTCACTCGGCAGACGCGCCGCTGCGATAGGTCATCCGCTGGCTTATCAGCTCCAGCTTCGACTTTCCTTGCCCGCCGCTTATCGGCAGCTCATCTTTCGTTCCCCACATTATTTCTCGTTCTTAACCTGGAATTTCCCCCCCGTGGTGGTCCATCTGCGTAGAGTCCCCAGTCGAAAGCTCTCGCCCTCTCTCTTGTACCCACGGGGTAATTCTTGGCTACTGTTTGTCTTGCCATTTCTGTCGCCGTGAAGGGGCGCTGCGACTATATTAGGTAGACAAGAGCCCACTGCCCGCCGCTGCCAACCATGCATTTGGTACCAAAGGAGGTCTGTGCCCCATCTTATCTTCTCCCAAAGTCTATACCCAAGCTGACCAGTATCGCGCCCCTCTAGCTTGACAAGCTCGTCATCTCGCAATTGGGATTTCTGGCCCAGCGCCGTCTCGCACGTGGTGTGCGACTCAACCATGCGGAAGCTTCGGTACGTTGCATAAAAGAACTGCTCCTGTGCAGCGTTGACCCTCGATTGACGAGGAGAAGCGGCTAATCGCATATCTCTAGGCCTTGATTTCATCCAACCTGCAGGAGGTAACTCATTCTCTTGAGGCTTGCTACCTTTCCCGTGACTTACCCTCATGCCTGCGCAGTTGATCCGTGATGGAGAGTATTCCGTGGCCGATCTCATGTCCATCGGCAAGACAATGCTGGGTCGCCGGCACGTCCTTCCCTCGGTCGTCTCGACCCTGGTCGAACTGCAAGTCGAGGGAACCTTCCCGACGGGCACGTACCTCGTGACCGTGCACCACCCGATCAGCAGCGACGACGGGGATCTGGAAAAGGCGCTCTACGGGAGCTTTCTCCCCATTCCGCCGGCCGACGCGTTCCCGGACCCGGACCCCGCCGACTACACGCCCGAGAGCATGCCCGGAGCCATTGTGCCGGTCCCGAACAGCCGCATCGCGCTCAACGAAGGGAGGAAGCGCATCAAGCTCAAGGTCATGAGCAAGGGTGACCGGCCCATCCAGGTCGGCTCCCACTATCATTTTATCGAAACGAACCCGCAGCTGCACTTTGACCGCCTCCGCGCGTATGGATACCGGCTGGACATCCCCGCTGGCACGTCCGTGCGGTTCGAGCCGGGTGACACCAAGGTCGTCACGCTCGTGGAGATCGGGGGCCACCAGATCATCCGGGGAGGGAATCGCTTGGCTTCCGGCAAGGTGGATCTCAGCCGTGCGGAGGAGATTATGATGCGCTTGCAGGCAGACGGATTCGCTCATGTTTCCGAACCTACGGCGGACGCCGCGCTTGTGACCCCCTTCTCCATGGAGCGGGAGGTGTATGTGCGCATGTTCGGCCCCACGACTGGAGATTTGGTGCGTTTGGGGTTGACCAACCTCTGGGTACGCGTTGAAAAGGACTACACGACTTACGGAGACGAGTGCACGTTCGGTGGGGGCAAGGTGATTCGGGATGGGATGGGCCAGTCTTCGGAAAAGTCCACCGCGGAGTGTCTGGATACGGTTGTTACGAACGCGTTAATCATTGACTGGACTGGAATCTTCAAGGCCGATATTGGTATCAGGGAAGGGATTATCGTTGGCATCGGCAAAGCTGGAAACCCGGACATCATGGATGGCGTTACGCCGGGTATGGTTATTGGCTCTTCGACAGATGTGATTGCTGGAGAGAACAAGATCGTGACTGCTGGGGGTTTTGATACGCACATTCATTTCATCTGCCCTCAACAGGCGGACGAGGCATTGGCTTCTGGCATCACGACATTCCTGGGTGGAGGTACGGGTCCCTCGACCGGATCCAATGCCACCACCTGCACCCCTGGACCCACGCACATGCGCCAAATGATCCAGGCGTGCGATCGCATCCCGATGAACATCGGTATCACGGGTAAGGGTAACGACTGCGGTGGAGTGAGCATCGAAGAACAGATCAAGGCGGGTGCTGCGGGATTGAAGCTACACGAGGACTGGGGCTCTACGCCCGCTGCGATCGATAAATGTCTCGAGCTGTGCGATGAGTACGATGTGCAGTGCATGATCCACACCGACACACTGAACGAGTCCGGCTTCGTCGAGCAGACGATTGAAGCCTTCAAGAACCGCACGATACACACCTACCACACAGAGGGAGCGGGCGGCGGCCACGCCCCCGACATCATCTCGGTGGTGGAGCACCCCAATGTCCTCCCCAGTAGCACCAACCCGACCCGCCCATTCACCATGAACACCCTGGACGAGCACCTCGACATGCTGATGGTGTGCCACCACCTGTCCAAGAACATCGCGGAGGACGTCGCCTTCGCGGAGAGCCGGATCCGCGCGGAGACGATCGCCGCCGAGGATGTGCTTCACGATCTCGGGGCCATCAGCATGATGTCCTCCGACTCGCAGGCCATGGGCCGCTGCGGCGAGGTGATCCTGCGGACATGGAACACGGCGCACAAGAACAAAGCGCAGCGTGGGTTCCTGCCCGAGGACGAGGGCACGGGGGCCGACAACTTCCGCGTCAAGCGCTACGTCAGCAAGTACACGATCAACCCGGCCATTGCGCAGGGGATGGCGCACATGATCGGCAGCATCGAGGTGGGCAAGATCGCGGACTTGGTGCTGTGGTCGCCCAGCTCGTTCGGCACCAAGCCTGCGCAGGTGCTGAAGAGTGGAATGATCGTGATGTCCAAGATGGTAGGTTCTTCTTGCATGTTTGCTCATCAGCCGAACTGACAACAATCCTAGGGCGACCCCAACGCTTCCATCCCCACCGTGCAGCCCGTGATCATGCGTCCTCAATTTGGCGTAAGCTTTTCTTCCTAACCGTGCGATAGTAAGCTAATAACCCCATCAGGCTATGGTCCCCAGCACCTCGATCATGTTCGTCTCGCAGGCCTCCATCGACGCCGGCGTCGTCCAGACCTACGGCCTCCAGAAGCGGATCGCGGCCGTCAAGAACTGCCGCAACATCGGCAAGGCGGACATGAAGTTCAACGACATCATGCCGAAGATGAAGGTCGATCCCGAGAGCTACCGCGTCGAAGCCGACGGGATGCTCTGTGACGCGGAACCGGCGGAGACTCTGCCGCTGACGCAGGATTACTTTGTTTACTGATGTCGTCCGGTTATGTGGAAGAACAAGAAGAAGAAGAAGAAGAAGAAGAAGATGATGATGATGGAAATAAAGAAAGAAAAGGTGTGGGTAGGATTATACCTAGTAGTAGTAGTGTGACGAGTTTCCTTTGATGATGCAGTGATACCTTTTGGGTTCTCTTATTTTTGCCTGTCTTTTTTCTTGGGTTGGGGGGGTATACAGACTAGCCTTTTTTTCGTCATTCTTGTGTACAGACTTTCGGCCTGTTGGAGGGGGAGGGGGGGCTATTTACTTATTATAAATCTGGAGACGAGGCTTGATTAGGGGTTGCTTGTGGGTGGGTGGGTGGCTTTCGATCTGGGGAATTGTGTAGATGCTCGGGGGAGGAGGAGAGGTAGGTGGGTCAGGTAATGCCAACGACAGCCCGAGATTCAATCACTCTTCTTCGTTTCCTTCCGTTAGGCTTATCAATGATATAACATCAGGAGAGCCATCCACGAAGTAATTCCATCACATTACAGTCCCAAAACCAATCCCTCCCCCCCCCAACGTATCTTACATTCTGATGACCCAACAAGGACGAGGGGAACAACATCCATCAGTGACACCATCCCACCCTCCCCAACCCCGCCACCGCAAACCCACTCTCCCCTGTTCAATCTCGCGCAAAGCTTTAGTAAACCCTTCAACAGATTTAGGGAAGGTTGGAGGGTTAAAGCTCCATCTCAACCTCCGAATGATTATTCCCCGTCGACATCAGCGCCACGGCCGTCGCCCACGCCTCGTAGCTGTCCGCCTGCGCGGCGCGGTAGGCGTCCTCGCGTTGGGTCCGGGTGTGCGGGCGGCGGTTTGGGTTGCGCGTTGGGCGGTTGGTGGTGGAGGGTCGGTGGCGTTTCGTCGGGGGTGGGTTATCGCTTCTGTGGGGGAGGTTGGTGGATGAGGTGGATGAGGGAGGGGATGGGGATGTTGAGGGTGAAGGCGAGGTGATGAGGTCGTCGATTAGGGTTTCGTCTTCTTTTTCTTCTTTTTCTTCCTCTTGGGAGGAGGTGGGGTCGGGGTTCGTTTGGGGATGGGTGGTGGTGGTGGTGGGTGAGGGTGTGGTGTTGCCCGGGGTGGGGAGAGTGTGGTTGTTTCGGGGTTGTTGGGGCTCTGGTGCAGTGTCTGCGTCTGCGTCTGCGTCTGGGGAAGGGGGGATGGTTTTGTTGTTCTTGTCTTCGAGTGACGGGTCTAGCTGGGTTGATGAATAGGGGATGAGGTCGTGGTCGGCTACATCATCGGAGGCCTGCTCGTGGGTCATCGGAGGCCACGACGATGGAAGGGAGCTCAGGCTGTAGGCTTCGCGTTGGGAGTCGGGCAGGGCTTCGAGGAAGGTCCATGCTTGTCGGATTGTGTTGCGGTGGATTCGGGTGGTTTGGGGTGTTGCGGGGAGGATGATGGGGGCTTGGGATGGCGTGGTGGTGGTGGTGGTTGCAGCGGGATTTGGGTTGGGAAAGGGAGTGGTGGGATTGTAGGTGGTTTCGTTGATCGTCGCGAAGGATGATGGGAGGTTGAGGTCCTCTGTGGAAGGCGTTGACGAGGAGAATGTCGGAAGATTCTTGCGTGGTGGACGCGGAGGAGGTGGCAGTGACGGTGAGGGTGAGGGTGGTGGCTTCTCGCGTGCTTCAATCTGCTGGGTGATGCCGGAGGACTGTTGGCTTGACTGTGGGGTCACGGAGGGAGCTGCTTGCCTTGACCGTTTCCTTCGATGGACCAGTTCCTCGTCATTGGAAATCATGTCGCGCATCGCCTGGTCGTGCGCGAACTCGGTGCCGGAACAGAGGTGGCCGAAGAGGTTTTGCATCGAGATATCTTCGGTCCAGGTCACCGGGTCGACGGTGCAAGGGTGGATGTCTTGCGGTTTGAACGCGGCAACTAGATCACACAATTCCGAGTACGAGGAGTGTCGGGAGTAGGGGAAGCGCTGGCTTGATTGTTAGTGAATGCCAGAGCAGAGCAGCGCTATAGGGATCTTACGATGACTTTGGGAAGTGCCTCGCCTTCCGGAGGATGCTCGTCACCCGGCAATTGTGTTTCCTCAGCACGACCCCGGCCGAGCATCTTGACCAGCTTCTCCAGAGGCATCTCGTCTGCGTCCTTCAATCCAAAGCTGTCCAATGGGAGCGCCTTTCTTTTCGACTCGAACGCCTCGATAAGGGCCTGTCTAGTGTGCGATAGTGCCTGGGTGTCATGGATCCGCTCGAAACAAAGCTTCTCCAGCTGCTCCAAGGCAGACTTGTCGGGCAGCTCGAGCTCATGAATCTGATACAGATCACCCCCTCCTCCCCCGGCCCCCAACTCGGGCATTTCGGAGCCGTCCTTGGTCCGATTGACCACCGGGATAATGTAAACAGTGTCCTTGGATCTCGCTACCGAACACTGCACGCCGGGCTCGCAGCTATGTATTCGAGCGCGCTCGTCCTCGCTCAGACAGCCTGGCACGTAACGGTTTCCTAGTTCAAACCCGCAGAGCGAGGGGACCTCGTTGATGCCCCCTTCCACCCGCGACGAAGCGAGAGACCTATACAGGTCCATCTGGTATCGATCGACGTGAACCTTGTGAGGCTAGCATCATGAGCAGTCCTGATGTTACAGACAGGTAGAAGTACCTTGGATCGAAGCGCCGCAGCAAGGGCCATCCAGACTTCTTCGTAACCCATAGTCCATGCACGGAAGTAGAACGTCGTTTTCTCGGGGTAGGCGTCGACCTTGAGCAGCAATTCGGCCAGGCCTTCCGCTTTCGACGGGAACACGCGACAGATGTGAGATGGACGGGCGAAGGTGGTGTCGAGGTAGATCTTGTCCAGCTGCTTGGTCCCTAAGGTGTAGGGAACCAAGATCGGGTGCCGGATGATGCTGTCGACCCACCAGGGTTCAGCTCCATCGCAATGTCAGTAACCGAGGAGAGTTCCCGAGGAAAGGACTGACACACCTCGGATATCACCCGTGTACAGGATGGCCTTCCCATCACCCTCGATCAGAAACATCACGGCACCGGTGCAATGGTTCGCATCGAGAAGGGTGACCCTGATGGACAGCCGTGGGGTCAGGTCGATCTCCGTTGGCGTGTTCAGCGGGATAGGCCTCTTCATCGAGCGAGTCAGCAGTCTAGGGGCAGGATAGGGCTAGTCGAGCGAAAATACCAGAAGCTTGGACAGGTGCTTGTAGTGCAGTCTGCGCGATTCGAGAATGCCTTTGCTGAAGTTCATCCGATGCGGATACTTTTCGAGGCGTAGGAGTAGCTGACCATACCGTAAGCTACTGCGACAATGGGGCCTTCAAACAGGTCTAATCACCTCGCGTGTGGCTGCTGAGCAGTAGATGAAGGGCGCTCGGAAGGACTCGAGTCCCTGCAGGTGGTCACTATGCACATGGCTCAGGAAGCAGACCAGCGGGGGAGGTCTGTCTGGGCTCTTGCGGAAGTAATCGACTGGCAATGACCATCAGCATCAATGCTGCTATTCATTGAAGAGAAAGTTGGTTGCAAGATGATTTACTTTGTATATAGGGAAATTCTACTCGTCATCAGATATGCCCACATTCATCTATTGTGTGGTGTACACCACCAACCTTGGACAATTCCATCAAAGGTAGACATGATCTTTCACTATCCTCCTGAAGATCGGATGATTTTATTCTAGAGTATCATGAGCATTTTTATAGGGATGAAGGGCGAGTTACTCGAGTCTGTGCCGCACAGAGACTAGGGGAAAAGAGGAGAAAAAGAAAGGGCAGAGAAAGAAGCAAGTATGACGGGTGGTAACGTGACTGGGCATTTTCATGAATGGGAAATGGATGGGGAAGGAAAAGGAAAGAGGAAAGAGAATGCTGCTTGCTGCACTTGACGCATTACTATTGCTTACTATTATTACTGCCTTGCCTACCTGAAGGTGCCCACTTGTTGGCTCTGCTGCAATAACCCTCATCAGCATCAGCATCAGCATCAGCATCTGCTGTACTCCATAGTTAAGGCAGTCCAGATCATACCGCCTTTCTGGCCCCGGGCCCAATTTTTACCCTTTCGGACATTGTCTGGCCCGTCGATTGTCTCAATCCATCCGCCAAACGGAAACGAGAAAGGAGATATTTCTAGGAAAGGAACACGAAAAAAGACAAAACCAAAACCAAAACGTCATGACGCTGGCCCAGAATCCTTCTCGATTCGAGTACCTACATGGATCCAGGCAGTCCAAGTGGCCTTGCAGTTGAACTGTTGAACCTCTGTGAGGCGAGCGGGCGACGCGAGTGAGTGCCAGAACGGACCCGCCCGCCAACGCAGGGCTGGTGTGCCATGCCATGCCATGCCATGCCATCATCACCACTACCACCACCACCACCACCACCACCACCGACGTGAGGCGGCCAGAGTGTCTTGCACAGTTACGGTGATGGATCGACCTGTTGTCATCGATTCAGGTTGGCTACGACTCCACGCTGTCGGTCTCCGATGCGATGCGCTGGTCATTTGCCTGCGTGGTTTCGTCGATCCCAGAGTCAGCCGACTGATTCAGAGTTGAACGGCCGATAAGTATAAAAAGGTCAACCCAGGTCACACAGGCACCTTTCCTCGTGAATTTCTCTTCCTTTCGTCCTCCTTTGATCACCGTCAGACTTCCTTCTTCTCTGCGTCTCCTCACCCGAATCAGGGTAGCCTTAAATTAGACCGCATTCCACTAGAATGGGCCCGATTCCCCATCGTTTCTGATCGACAAGCGGGACGGATTAGGCTTCTAGTTCTAACGGTATCGTACCTGAAGCCAAGGCGTCGGGTGGTACGTCACATTATTATTCGCCTCCAGGAAGCATCGCTCCCTTTCCATTTGGAATATCTCCGACAGATCATAGAAGGGGAAAGGAAGACAGGGAGAAGCGAGTTGACTCCGTTCCTCACCTCCTCAACCCGGCCCTCGGATCGCGTCTTCCATTGTTCTTCATTCATACCTCGACAACGCCTCGACTGCAACACCTCCAATCCACGTGTATGGTAGGGATCCCATGCGATTATCCCGGAGAGATATGCCGGCTTGCATTGTTCTCCCTTATTAGAGACTTTATGAGTACGGAGCGTTGGCTGAAACCTTGACCAAGTCGGGCTGCGTCCACGCACCTCCTGTCTCCTATTCTAGGCTTTCTAGCCCATCCTCGATTGCTCATTCCGACCACGACTATTGTTGATCGACAATCTCCGGCTACCCCCTTCCGCAACCAGATACATCTCTGGTATCTTCCTCACCGTCTGAGCATTCCCCCTTCTTGCTCTCATTCTTTGTTCTCCTCATCTCACCCCAGTATCCGTGCACTTTGTTACCCCATATCTGTCCTTAGGATCATCTTCTTTATACACTCTCCCACCTCTCCCACCCTTCACCGCATCTCTCCGTCACTACTTGCTTTTTACACCTTGACCTCCAACCCCATCTTCGCCACTTATCCTCAACCTTCCGCCTTAACGACTTGGCCCGAATCGAATTTCATCAATCATCTTCACTATGCACAAACCATCGCTGGCTCAAATCGTGCACAGCGCACTGTTCCCACGGCCGCGTGCGAGCGATCCGGCGACATTCTCGGCTCATATCACTCGGAACCTGGTCCCCGAAGTTCGCGTTGAAACGTCAACTTTCTATGGATCGCTCGACTGCATCGAAGCTCAATATCCAGGGCTAGACTACTCACATGGTCCTCACCGTATGAGGCTCAGCCGTTTCCCGTGGCACCGCAGACTGTTCAGGGCCTTCGATGAGTTGGGTCTGACAGAGGCGGAGATCTCGTCCCTCTGCCGCTGGGAGGGAACCAAGTCAGCTCGTGAGCGATATGAGATCGAGGAGGGCGTAAAGGTACGCGATACGACTGCAGACAGTATCCGACCTGCATCCCCTTCTCCTCTTCCGTCCGTCGAAGTGCACTACGAGGACGGCCCGGAACCCGCCAAAGAACCGGAACGCAGGGCAGAGATGCCGACCCCCGAAGTACGCACTCCAAGCGACGTCATTGATGACCGCGGCATCGACTGTATCCTCGAAGAAACCGTCGAGGAAGATTACAGCGAGGATGAAATGGAAAGCTGCGGGGTGGAGCTGAACCATCGTCTACTGGCCGCAAGCGCTGCGCGCGAACAGGGTGCCAATGTACCACTGGACGAAGATTGGGAACAATGGTTGAAGGAAGCCGGGGAACGGGGAAGCTATACTGACGTGGTGAATGCAATCCGAATGGGCCAGCCATTGGGATACCTATACGACATACCATCCTCGATGCCTCACATGGGTCGAGCAGGCATTCGTCCCTCCAGCTCCCTATCAGAACCTTTCACACTACCATCGCCATCCACTTTGCTCGCTTCTCGACGAGCAGGAGGCCAGGCACCCTCCCGAGCTGCTCGTTAGAAGAGGAGTATGCCGCCAGAGGAAGAGATTTTAGATAGTGTTCTTTTTGTTTTTCGGATTAGCGAATGGGCTTGGCTTTTCTGATCGATGCATTTTCAGCGCTCCGGTGGACCGGCGTCTTCAAGCGTGATATCTCTATTAACTGGTTGTTCATAGATTTCCTTGGTTTTTTCTTGATGTGAATCTGTCCCTCAACAGTGTCTAATACCCGACCAACCTGCTACTTATGTTGGGCATAGATACTTATTTGGTTGTTGAGGATCATAGCATAATTACAATATACACGATAATCGATAGACAGAAGGTGACCCAAGTGACTCTATTGTAGTGTTGTAGTCCATCGGGCGGAAAGGTTCTCCGCGCCGCGCCTGAAGTTCCCCGCGACGCCCCGCGACACCCAAAAGTCTTCTCTTGCACCTCATACTCCTTCCTTTCCCCAACTCTTCATCAATGTCGTTCTTCGCCCACTTCTTCGGGGCCCGCGCTCGTTGAAAGGCGCTTGGATCTCTATGCAGAATGGGTTGAATTTCTGTATAATCTTTGCCTCTTAGTCAATCCTAACTCCTCATCCTCCCACCCCTTGTTCTCCCCCGCACCCACCGTCATCATGATCAAAGCCATCTTCTACAGCAAGTTCGACACCCAAGAGGGTACGCTAGCCTTTGAAGTTAAACTGGCTGGCAACGACTGATTTCGATTAGGTCCTAAGGTTGTTCACCAGGTTCCAGACGGTGCTATCGTTCCCTCCGCCGCCGCGCCCTCGCAGCCCCCCTTCCTGACCTTCTCCGACATCTCCTTCTTCGTGATCCCTCGGCAAGAACTTTGCGGGAACCTGATTCAGGTTTGCACCAATGGCTATCGTATCTTGGGATATCCGATCTGTATGAAGTCGCTTCGGTATGACCGCAACGAGTTCATCTTCAACTTCTGTGTGGTGCTGGCGGAAGAGGAGGATTTCAGCACCTACAAGAGCGTTGTGCAGAAGCTCGCGGATCTGATGCACGGATTGGAGGAACAGAATGGATTCTTGTCCAGAGATCATTCCAAATCCGGCGAAGGCAAGGTATATAGCTTGTGCGAGACTTTGATGGAGGACCTGAACAACTACTGCGAATGCATGATTCCTATCGGTACTTCTTGCCCCGCGCTTTACACTTCATGCGTACTCCGGCTATACAGAGGGATGCTGACGGGATTCCAGATGAGCTGAATACCCTCAACATCAAACTTTTCCCAATCTACCCGGCTCCTCCGCCAGTCAAGGCCTGGCAGGTCCCTTTGTTCACGGTCCGATATCAGACGTTCATGGATGAGAACTGGGATCTGACCATGCAACGCGTACGTCGCGGTTTCCTTACCACCCCTAGCAGAGCGTAGCCCTGATTAATCGTTCATCCAGATCGTGCCCCACATCAACGGAGTCAACAGTGTACGGATCATCTCAATCCTAGCCGATACCGACTTCTCCCTAACCTGTCGAGCCATCCGGCACCTCCTATACTACGGGTGTCTGTTTCTGCTCGACATCTTCTCCTTCTCGGCGATTTATGCGCCTACCGCGCAGTTCAGCTCGACCATCGCCATGAACGAGGACATGCAACATGAATGTGCGCGTTACGTTAACACCTCCTTTGCCTCGCCCGTCACTGCCGCATCCGCAACCCTCGCCGCCGGCTCCGACCCAGACGCCGTGTGGCCGCCGGTAGGCGACGTGCTCACCACCAGCAGCGCCAGCGTGACCGCGCCCAGCCGCACTCCAAGCCCAACCCTCCTCTCCAACGCTGTGATGGCCACCTCATCCAGCGTGACCGTCACCGCCAGCCCGGCCGCAGTAGCTGCCGCCACCGCGACCTCCGTATCTTCCGAACCCAACCCTGGCACTTCCCCAACCCGCGGGCCCTACGACAGCCGCCCGGTGGTAGACGGCGCCGGGCTGGTCTCCCTGTACGCAAGCCTCAAACAAGGCCAAAACGTCAAGCAGTGGTATCTCCACCACAGCCGCGAACTCTCGCACATCGACATCCGCCGCTTCATCACCTTCGGCGTCATCAAGGGCTTCATCTACCGCGTGCACAAATACGCCGTCGCCACGGGCCAGCCCGCCCCACCACTCAAGGCCTCCGCCCTTTCCCACAACTACCACTACCACCAGAACCACCACAACCACCACCAGAGCCCCGCCATCACCCCCGCAGGCGGGGGAACGCTCCAGATCCCCATCTCCAGCGGGCCCTCCTCGCGCGGACCCGGCACGGGCACGAATTCTCCGTACGCGTCGAGCGCGGGCGACGAACCGGCGCCGATTGCACAGCACAACCAGAATAACCAGCACCCGCACCCACACCCGCACCCGCAGCACCGCCAACAACAACAACACCATGCCGACGGAGGACGGGAGCAGCACTCGACCTCCGTGCACAGCGGAAGTCGCCCGGGGACGGTGGTGACGCTCGACAACAACGAGGACGACGAGGACGAGGATGAGATCGACGACAAAACGCTCGCCAAGTATCTAGACGGGATGCATTGTTTCGATCAGATCTGCACGGAGCTCGAGATCAGCGAGCGCGAGCTCACGGCGCGGTTGAAGCGGTTCCCCGGGGAGGTGTTGATTATCCATCGGTAGATGCCATGGACAGGGTCATTTGAACAAACACCTGGGGAGACAATGAAGAGGTTGGGTGGTTGTATTGATTGATACCCCGTGGATTTAGATGTTACGTCGTATACTGTAGATATTATGAAATGATAGACAGTTTCCACTGAACGGGCACTACCCAGTGTAGTTCCCGCGAGGCTAGAGATAAGCTGTGATAGGATTTAGACCCATGTACAGTACCTACTTCCTGTAACCAGGTCCTTGAGAATTATTTTTTTTTTGCTCTAATCAGCAAATGAAGAGTGCAAAAACGCCCTCGTGAGCAACACGACTGACGGACAGTAAGCCACAGATTCCATGTACTGTATGTATACTCCGTGGACAGGAAAGAAAAGAAAGAAGATCCTCGCCCGCGTAAATAATCATGTCATAACGCCCGAACCGACATGCCGTAATATCCCGGAAGGAAAACTCGCTGCAATCCCCATGACCCCCAAGGGCAACAGGAAAAAAGAAACCCCCCCCCCCCCCCCCACTTTTTTTTTTTTTTTTTTTTTTTTTTTTTTTTTTTTTTTTTTTTTTTTATCTGATAAGATCCCTCTCCATGATTCGCTCAGCGAAGCCCAAGATAGTCAAGAACAAAGTCAAAAAAAGATATACATCGAACATGCATACACCGACGTCATAATCCTATGGTCAGGATAACGAACGAAGGAAGAGAGGGGGATTCTACTCCTGCTCGTCGTCCCAGCCCTCCAGCTCGGCCTTCTCCAGCTCGGCCATCATGGCGGGCTCGAAGACCGTCTCCTCCCGGCCGGGCACGCTGGTCTTGCTCTCGCGGAAGACGGGGCCGATGCAGTCGCGCCAGCGCTTGCGGCGGTCCATCAGGGTGCGGGCGACGTCGCCGATGGCGGGGCGGCCGACGCCGGCGGCGCTGGCGACGTGGCTGCCTGCGCCGGCCCCGCCGGCCCCGCCGCCCGCGCCGGGCCGGTGCTTGGCCTGGGAGCCCTTCTTGCTCTTGCCCAGGGTGCGGGTGCGCTTGAGGTAGGCCTGCTGGACCTGCGAGTCGAGGTCGTCGTGGATGGTCATGTACTCCTGGTGGGCCATGCGCTCGCGGGCGATGTCGAGGAGGCGGGTCTTGCGCGCGCTGTTGATGATCATCTGCTTCTTGAGCTCGCTCTGCAGCAGGCGCAGCCGCTGCGCGATGTCGTCGTCGTAGTGCGCGTCGTAGTCTGGGTTGTCGTCGGCCCCCAGGAACCCCACGTGCCGGAGCTCCGCCTTCAGGCGCTCGTCCAGCTGGGCGTGGTCGAGCTTGGCGGCCGGGGTCTTGAAGCCGTTGGGTGAGGCGTCCGGAAAGGCCGTGGCGGAGGCGAGGGGTTTGTTGTTGGCGTCGGCGTCGGCGGGGGCGCTGCCGCTGCCGCTGCCGTTGGGGAGCGGGGGAGGCAGGGACGGGTGGTCGAGGTCCATGGAGTCGCCGAAGCCGTTGAGGCCGTTCGTGGTCGTCGTGCCGTCTCCGTTGGTGGTGATGTTGGTGTCGTCGGGACTCGAGCGGTGCTCGTAGCGGAGGAGGGAGTAGAGGCGGCTGACGAGGGGGCCGACGGATACTTTGTCGGTCTCGACGGTTTCATCCGTGAGTTGGTCGATGTTGCCGCGGCCTTGGTTGAGCGGGAGACGCTCTTTGTCGCCGTTCGCTTGGTCGCTATTGCCGAGCCCGTCTTCTTCGGCCCACGTCTCCGCGTAGTGTTTCTTGCCGCGTCGGGGCATGATGAAAGGGCTTGCTCGGTCGCCCTGGGACTGTTAGTTATGGTTGGCATGGCGCTGGGCGAGAGCGGGGATGTACCTTTTCCTTGAGGAATGCCATATCCTCTTCGGTCATCGGGCGGACGTAGGGGTCCACGTAGGCGAGGAATGTATTGGCGCTGACTTGGTTCGTGGGCTTGGAGTTGCTGAAGTCGCGGTCGGGCGGTACCCCGGCCATCATGTGGCTCAGATCGCTGCGAGGGAAGCGGTTGACGCTGTAGATGAACTTCTTCTCCTCATCGGTCATATCCGGCGTGACCTCGCGAATGTGATAAATGGTCGGGTCATCGAATTTTAGCGGGTTGGGACCGAACACCTGCACCTGAGGCACGGTGGGGGCGGGCTCGGGCTGGTGCGAGCTGGAGCTGTCATCTGAATCCTCATCGGAATCTTCGCCTTGGGAGCCCTTGGCGGCCTCAGCGGCCTCGCGGGGGGATTTGGGCGAGAGGGAGGCATCGTCGGAGGCGGCGTTCTTGGACTTTTTGGAAGCTGGGGATGCGGCTGGTCAGGTCAGTGATGATGCTCATAGCGACAGGAATGGGGGAGGGAAAAGGCGAAAGAACAGCAAGAGACTCACCTCCTTCAACTTTTGTCTCAGCGCCATCCTGTCGCGCCAGGCCATGCGCTCCATGGGCCAGAGGCCGATCCTCCTTGGAGCTGCTGCCTCGTTCCTTTCTCTTCTTGAGCTTGCCGCCCTTGAACACCTTTTCTTCATCCTCTTCGTCAGCTTCGCGCTTCATCTTCAGTCGGTCGCTGCCACCGCCCTCGCGATCGCCTGGCTCGGGCTCATCCGCCACTTCCTTGCGCTTCTGCGACAGCTCCCGGATGCCGGCATTGCACACGTCTCCCCGGGTCTCAGCCAGCTGACTGAGCGTCTTGAGGTGTTCCATCAACATTTCCAGCGACTTGGAATCGGGGATCGGCCCCACCCCGCCCATGCGCTCCAACAGCTCCCCATATTGTATCGAGGCGTTCATCATCAGCTTCGAGGCATCGTTGTCGAGGTAACTGTGGACGAGGCCGCCGGCGGTCGGGCCAGCACTGAAACTGGAGCTGGGGGTGGTGTTGCGACTGCGCGAGGGGCGCACTTCGCGATCACGCTCACGGTCCCGGTCCCGGTCCCGGTCCCGATCGCGGTCGCGGTCGCGGTCGCGGCCCTTGCCCTTGCCCTTGCTGGCGGCGGGCATGTTCGGATGGTGAGGTTATGGAGGTCGGTAGTGGAAAGCTGGGGTAGATGAGATGAGAACTGACCGAGGTCGGGCGGGCTAGTGGTCCATAATGTTTCACTCGGCGTATTGAAGCGTCGTAGTGTAGACGCTCGAGTTGGAGGGGTAACCGATCAGTTTTCGAGGTTGTTTAATTTTGATGGCGAGGTGGACTTGGTCTCTTGTACCAGTAACAGTCCCAATCATCTTGTAGCATCATTCCTGGGGAAGGTGACAGCACGTGAGAAGGAAGCAGCATGTGAGATCACGTGCCGTGGCTTAGTCAGAGTCGAAACGGATAGGCTCTTTCTCCTCACGTGATCTAACGAGAGTGCTTCGCTGATTTGGGATTAGTGCAGGGCCAATCAATGCCTTTCCCCCTTGGGATTAGTTGCCTATCATTTAGGTTGACAGCGGAGATCCATCATGCATCATAAAGATTCAAGGTTCCCAGTTCGAGAGAGCCAAAAAAAAATCCTCGTTGATCCTTCTTTTTTCTTTGTTTGGGGAGGGGAATGAGCTAACACGGCACATAAGAATATCCAAGATTGCATGAAGCGGCAGAAGCTGGTGTTGCGCCAATCGCCATAGAGATCAATATCTTTGTCGATAAGATTCTTGAGAGGATTTTCTTTACACGCTGACAGTGCTCGCAATGTGATTCTGTCCTCCTTCACGCCAGAAATTTGCATTCTATTGGCATGCAAGCAGAAGGTGTTTCCGACCATGTTTATTACCAATGCTGGCAAGCCCCCGACAATGGGTCTCGAATCTCGGGCTTCTAGTCTACAGTCTGCTGTTCACTTCGCGAAGCGCTGGAGTCTGTCTGGCATAGTTTTCGCATCGGAGACTCTCATCAGCTGCCCTAGACTGATTAAATACGTCAAGCAAGCTGGTTTGATATGTGCCTCCTATGGACTTCAGAATAACGCCCCTGAGAACGCGCAAGTAAGCACTTACAGGGCTACCAAATGACCCATCTCCTAGGTCATGATTTATCTCTGACTAAATATCTAGGTGTAAGCAGCAGCTGGTCTTGATATGCTTATGGTTGATAGGGTCTAACAGATCTCAGTCGCGTTGGGTGGAGGTGGAGGTGGAGGTGGGGTGTAATCTAGAGAAAGACCAGCGTCTCGGTCGATATTGATTGGCATTGTAGTGTACATTGTAGTGTATGTAGTGTACATTGTAGTGTAACTACAATGTAACTACAATGTACAGTAACGTGTTCCGTAGTTACAAGTGGTACCTTACACCGCCCTTCAGCGCGGATCTGGCCCTCACCGCCCCGAGATAGAGACTCCATCTACCTAGTACGGAAGAGGTTAGTCGTGGTTTCAAAAAACTACTAGAGGCAGTGGCATCAGCTGTTCGGGAACTCGTTCATTCATCCCATCGATCTATCATCTATCAATCTATCTATCGGTCAACCTATCCATGATGTAGCTGCAGAATGACCCGCAAAACAGCAGAAGATGATCCCATCTAATGTCGAGCTCGATGTTTGCGGTCCTACATTTCATGGCAGTCAGCCTCCGCAAACGTCTGCTGCAAACAGGACCGATCGGCAACCAGGTCACCCCCCAAACCACCCGCAATGAGCATTCACACGCAGAGCTGGGGAGCTGAGACAGCCCAAGAACCTCGGAGCCCTGCATGACTTGCCCCTGCAGTTCTGCAGCTCTGCAGCTCCATGTCCGATGCAGTAATTTCAGCAGCAGCATTGCAATCCTGTCACTGACGGGCAAATCCGACCCATTTCCCTCAGTTGCCCTACTGTCAGCATTCCTCCTGGCTATCGGCCTGGACACTGCTTGCATTCTTTCTTTCACAGTGGCCAACATGGATACGAATCTCCTACGCCCCGCCTAGCCAAACCCGGCACACCATGTTGGCTGTGCTGGTTGTCTTTTTAAGTCGCTAGATCTCCCCTTCGAGTGGGCGGTAGGCCCCCATGCGATCACCTTCATCATGAGTAAGTGTCTCAGCACCGGGAAAAGGTATGCATCCTGGGTAAGGGCTGCGGCTAACTCACTTGCTCATAGCTGCAAAATCACTTACCACGTTCACGGAAGTCTTCTTTGCCAATCCGGGGCAAGCAACTAACGCAACACCGTCAGTAAATGTAGGTTTTCTGTCCGAGTCCCCAGAAACCGCGGAGGAGAAAAGACTGACGGATGTGAAAACGCCCTCAGAACAGCGCCGCGTTCTCCTTAAAGCTCGATCATACTGTTCAGACACTGTCAAGAAAAGGCGCCCCTGGCAGAGGCCCAATTGAAGGATTTCTCTTCGTCCCGAGCCTCGATGCCGCCGACGCGTGCAACAATGCCACCGCTGCATACGTTCCTGCCAATGTGACCCGCCTCGACGATATCACCCCGCTCGGGAACCGCAAGATCGGCCTGGCGCCCTGGATCAGTGTTGACTGCACGCGAGCGTTCCTCAACGCCTCGCAAGATGCTGGTACCGATGCGCTGGTATTCTTTCAGCCCCAGAGCGATGACGCTCAACCACCGCCGGCAAGAGATCCAACATGGTCCTTAGGGGATGAAGACGACTGGAAGAGCACAAACAAATACCCGGTGTATGCGATACCCGGGCCGGCGGGTGTCACCCTGATGGAGAGGCTATCGTTGTACGGAACTGTGAACAACCCTGACGGTGGGTTTCAGTCCGATTACCAGTTAATTTCCGTAATTGATATAGGTGGGTCGTCCCTGCTGCTGGATGGTATCGGGTAATTGGTCCTAATGTCAAAAACCAGAAAGCACAAGCCAAACCATGCCTAGTCTCTGGGGCTTCATTTTAGCTATTTTGGGAACAATCTTCGTCTTGAGTGTGGTCCTGCTCGTGTTCTACCAGCTTGTACAAAGGCGCCATCGACAGACGCTTCAACGGCGCATGGAGAGCGGGGATGTAGATCCGGAGCATCTGGGGATGCATCAGCTGCGAGTCCCGCCGGATTACTTGGATACGATGCCAATATATGTTTATGGAATCGAGGCCAATGCTGATCACGACGACGAACCCGAGGAACGGCCTGCTATAGATATAGCCCATTCCCATGCTCATCCCGCTTCAATGGGATCTGCAGAAACGATCGTCGCCAACGTCAAAGCCGACCACCGTGACACCCCACCCCAATTCTCCTCAGAAACAATCGTACTCAGACCAGAACCCGCCAGGTTGAAGGAAGTCGAAGACAGAGCCGCATCTATTCACTCCTCCAGAAGCGGTAGCGGCACTTACTCCCCGCCGCAGGTGAATGACAGATGGCACAAACATCGACTAAGCCGATCACAGACGACCTGCGCGATCTGTCTGGACGACTATGTGCCGGGGGAGTCCACCGTGCGAGAACTACCATGCGCACATATCTTCCACCCGGATTGTATCGACACTGCATTGACCCAGTCCAGCAGTCTGTGTCCACTGTGCAAGAAGAGTGTACTGCCAGTTGAGCGCTTTCCTGCGCCAGATATTCTTGTGCAGATGGCAAGAAATTGAGATGTGGGGTTGATCAAGAACCTTCCTCCAACGTCCTATGATCGCCCTGGTTTTATTGCAAAGGTCTGGGGCTCAAACAAGCTCTGTGTCCATCTTTGTTCAGTGAATGGCCGAACAACATTTATCATGACTCCCGCGATCAATGGATCACGTCGCATGAAGTTGATGGTACTGAAACTTGCATGTGACAATCTGATATCGTCAATCTTCCGATTGCCTACCAGTGCAATCCACAAGCTCACCACCACACTTCGCGCAACATAAGGAACAGAGATCTATGAGCGAGAGACAAGGCTTCGCCACGAAACAAACCAATAGCTCAACCTATGCCATGGTTTTGGCAACAAGAACAACGGAGCCACGATGTCTGGGATAGCGACTTTACAATTCCAAGGCTGTTCATTCTGTCTCTCTGTTTGAAGGAGCTTCAAGCGTTCTCCTTACGACGTATGCATCGGCCTCGTGAGGGGCTTAGGCACCATGAGCGCGGGTTCAACAGTGTGGGCATACCAACACCAGTGACGCGGCAGCTTCAACGTTCCGGGTCCCAGGATTGTTACGCCAACCCTCTCATCGAGTTTCCGCCCCGTCTGCCAACCTAATACATACCATCTGTGGTACAAGATTTAGAGTGGGACTCGCCCGAGATTTGGAGCTAGCTATAGTAGTGGTTGCAGACCGCCGCGAGCGTACCCTTTCAGAGGTTGACTACTCCACTATTGGACTGGCTGAGCCGAGCATGGAGATAGAACAGCTAGAGATCACGAATCGGAATGGAGATGATGGGTGTAGGGACCGGGAGCAGTGCCGGAAGGGCTTGTGTTCGCGCAATGGATGCTCAAGACGGATGGATGTATTGATGGATTCTTGTACAGTCCACGGTGCGAATGGAGGGGCCGAGCCACAAGACTGTAAGCGCGCCGGGGTGCAGCCAAGCCTTAAGTGGTAGTAGTAGTAGTAGCAAAGCAGCCGAATCCAAACCCAATACACCACACACATCATGAAAGATACAATATGCCCTGTGGTTTGGATTTGTTAGACTGTGAGGCATAGCAGGAATCTTCCGCCTACTAGAGACTCTAGAACCAATACTATATCTTTTCCTCAGCATACCAAACATCCCGAGCAATCGTCTCCGTAGCGAGGTAGGTCATTTGTCTACGATCCAGCCGGAGGACATTACGTTGCGCTGTAGGCTGTGTCGATGGGTATGTGTACAGAGTCCACCACCTAGCAAGCAGCATATAAGATAAGAAAAAAAAAAAAGGGGGGGAGGGGGGCTGACCTAAGACTAAAACGCCCCTCGTCTCAACTGAGACACAGCTCACAGAATGTATGCACCAAACTACATACAAACCTCACTGATTACATTTGAGCACTTGCAATTCTGGAAGGAAAATCAGCCCTAAGAGCAGGTCAGTCATTGAATGCAGCCAGCTCTTATCTTGTCACGAATAAGCATCCCCAGCCCATGGTACTGGACTGGATAGAGGCTACATACAGATCACTGGCATACAACGAACTACTGATAGGGTACTTTTGACTACTTCTGCACATTACCAGTCATACAATCACAACATCAGTCAATTTAATTCTTCGAAGAATCATAGTCTAACCCGAGGAAAGAACCCCATCTCTTATCTCCCTTCCCCATACAGGATGAAGGCATTTCCGCTTGTACCCTGAGCCTAACTAATCACAGAAACAGAAACCCTCGGCAAGGAGAGACGCCTCCATAAAGCATAGATCACACAGAATAGGTAATGGAAAAGGAAACATTCCATGCACAAGTCAACTTCCCTTGCATCCTTTCTGTTTGGTATCAAAGACAATTTGCAGAAGCGTCTTCGAGCATGAGAAGTTGACGTTGCACGGGGGAAAAGACAGAAATAATACAATGAACGAGGAAACTGCCCCAAGCAGCATATCTTGACATCATGGTCTTAATCCCCAGCCTAGAGAAGAATGTCAAGTCACTGTGCTGTCAGGTCATCAAGGCCGAGTCTATTATTAAGTATCCGCACTAACGATATGTCATGATTCTTTCTTTTGATCCGTTGCGCATGATTTCTATCTCTTGTAAAGTCGCGTCAGGAAACGAGTGTACAAGTGTAAAAACAGGGGAATAGAACTGGCGAAAAAAAAAGAAAAAAAAAAAGTCGGAACGAGCATATAGAGTCCAGGTTGAGTACATGACAACCCCGAAAAGGTGGTCTCGATGCAGAATTGCACATTTGAGTCTCAAAGACCATGGTGAAATTCACAATAACACAGAGGTGGCAAATTGTTCTTCAATGTACCGCGACAAATCCACGATTTAGACTCATGAGAGTTGCGTTGCAATTTCAAGAATTGAGCGACAAGCCCTGAAATCGACTCATCCACTCATTTTGGGGGTGCATACGGGAGGATCCAGCGCTTGCACCAGTGCCTGCCGCGTAGTCGACATATCCCGAGTCCAAGGGATTATATCCGCTAGGTGAGTAAGGAGAGAAAGGGTCCGGAGACGCGTGTCCCCCAAGGCCGGACTCTGGCGCCCGGGAGGACGGGCCGAGAGATTGATAGGGCTCCGCGTACGCACTGCGGAGCATGCCTAGCTGGCCATCTCGCCCAGCATCGTGGCCATCTCGGGCAGAGCCATACACTCTACCATCGTGCTGGTGCGAGCGATCTGTCTGCGTATCATGGCTGTAAGCCAAAGGGTTTGGTGCCTGAAGACCTGCACTTGGAGGCGTCACAAAAGAGGCAGGGTTGATGGCCGACATCCAAATTCGAGTTTTGTAAATCTTGAAGAGATCGGTCACCAATGAGTTGAAGTTGATATAAGAATCGGCGAAGTAATAGAAGGTGAGCTTCTTCCAATCCCTACGAGAATTAGTATCCAGGGTACAGTGTTGGGCAGGGTCGACTTACATCTGGAATTCAGCATCCAAGATCTCCATGTTGAGCCGATGCTCTGCCACTTTCTGCTGACAGACACGTTTGGCCTTCGCTTCGTTCCCTTCCTTGTCACGAAGCGTCAAAATCTCGTGGTTTTGAGCGAGCCTCTTGATCAGCTTAGGTTTGATGTCGGCAGTGGAGTCTTGAATGCCATGTGAGCCATGAGGGCCCATCCCGCCGATGGCGCTTCTGTTGTTCAGGCCCGGCACACTTCCAGGGGGGTTGACCACACTTGCCGCACCGTTCTGGCCCTGTCGAGAAAACATCATCAACCACTTATAATGTTCTTCCGCATACTGCTGCTTGAGCTCCCGGGCTTTTTGCATCGACACATTGGCATGTTGAATGGTGCCAAGATCCGTTCCACGATCAGCTTCGACGATGACGAGGTCGCCTGGTTTCACCTGAAGTCCGGTGTCCTCCTGGATATAGAAAACATCTGCCCGATGACATTTGAATGTGACGATATACAAAAGCTGATTCTGATGCGCAAGACCCGGCTGATGGCGTCCGTAGGCGTTCGGCATTGTGTATGCTTGATGAAGGGAAGTCGCCATGGAAGGCCCCTCGGCACTGCGGAGAGCCTGGTCGCGAGCGAAATAGGATTCTGCAAATCGTCGAGCTCGTAAATACTCTGACTCCATTTCATGCTCCTCGGGGCGAGGGGCCGCATGAAATTGTGGATACTCACGGTTCTGGCCTTGCAAATTGGACAGAGGGCCATCAAAGTCCTCTTCCCGGTCTCCCAATCCGGATCTTGTGCCCGGGGCTGCCTGTGGCTCGCCCGAGATGGACCCATGCCGAATAGGTATATCCGCGAATGAATGGCGTCGGCTCTGGGGGATTTCGGAAAAGCTACCAAATCCGAGGGAGGTCTGCCAATGAGCCTTGCGAACGTTTTCGAGAGCACGATTCTCGTAGTTGGGGTACTGTTTCTCCAAGTTGATCGAGTGTTCGGACATTCTCCGGCGGGGACCGCCATGAAGGTTGTTGTAGCCAGGGATGTCCCCAACTTCGTCCAGGTCCTCCACAGCAAGATCGGTCTCCTCCGGGACACTGCCACGAATACGATGCAAGTTGTGGATGCCATTTCCAACCGCATAGCCACTAGCCGCGGATGTTGTGGACATGGCACGGTCTCTGAAAGGGTTGTCAATTTGGCCAGCGGCTTGACGCAGGAGAGCGTTCTCCCTCGAAAGCTGTTCGATTGTGCGGGCTTGGTTGGCGGTATAATTGCTGAAACTACCATCCGAGCCATCCGGACTTCCGGTCTCGTCGTCTTCATCCTCGCGCACACGTCCGAGAGTAGCAGGATCATGGCCAAGCTCACCAAGAAGGCTGGGACGAGACGACCGGTGTTGGAGGGAGGTGTATTGGCCGCCATTGCGGGCTCGTCCACCAGAGTAGGGAGAGGCGGTCTTATTCGCCATGAGACTCAGATATTCAGGGTCCAACTGGCCGACGGAATATGACTGTGAGCGGTAAGTCTTGGGAGTCGGATGGAGAGGAATCGAGAACGGAATTGCAGCCTCTCCCGCGGTTGTACGAGTAGGGCTCAGTAGCTCCTCCGTGAAGTAGTTAGTGGCGGTGGGTGGATTAGACATAGTCGGCGAAGGGATGATCTCGGTAAGGCGGGGCGGTGGCTCCTTTCGCGACTCGGTATTCCAGATACCAGTGCCCCAGGCAAAGGTACTATTCCCAACATTGTTCCAGCCCATGGAGCTACCAATCCCAGGACTCGTGCTGCTGGGCCATCCCGCTTGGTCGGTAGCTGGGCTGCTTGGGATGGAGGCGCCCGAGGACAGAGGAAGGCCGGTCAGGGAAGCTTTCCGAGGAGCAATAGCAGGAACCTCATTCAGCCAAGAGGTACGACGAGCAGGTTTCGCTGTTGGAGCAGTCGTAGGCGCAATAATATTGTGGGAATGATCTCCATCATCATCTGAAGAAGCGAGAGCTTCTGAATCTGGAGTTGAGCGACGAACACCGAGGTGGGTCTTCTCCAGTCTAGCAGAGACATTGTTTGTCGGCGTTGGAGAGGCGACCAACTTAGGGGTCTGAGGGGTGGGTTTGGTCGATTGTGCAGCCATGATTTTTTATTTTCTGTAGGCCTGTGTTAGACGTAAAGGCTGTCTGCCGTCTGATGAGCAATGAAACCGGACGAGACGAGCACTGCGCATCGAGATTCTGTTAGCAGGGAACAACATCGCCTGAGCTTAGAGGATTCGACTGCTCGGATTGGACAGAATGAGACGGAGTTGAATGAACAAATTGGTAGAAAGACCAGAAGGTCAATTGAATACTTGCAGCAACCGTTCAAACATTGGTGCAAGTGAATACGAACAAAGGCAACTTACCAAAGTTGATAAAACTGACGTCAGGGAGCAAGGGATATTGGCCCCCGCAATGAAAAAGTGTGGGGTATGTCCCTAATCGAGCGTTAGTCGAAGGCGAAAAAAATGGATGGGATCTGTAGTCACCTGAACCGGGCTGGGACTCGCTTCGGATAAAAAGTAAATACAAATTCGCGAACTCTATTAGGAGCACAAATATTCTGCCCGAAAATACTAGCTCTCACGAAGAATAGATAAGGCTGACCTCCTGTTCTGTCATATGACTAATTAGTAAAGTTTGTTCTGACAACAGGCTGTGAGAAACCCATCCATGGCAAAAATCCATGATAGAAATAGGAATAAGAAGTGAAGTGAATAAAGACTGAGGGAAACGTGGGCGACATGAATAGGAAGTCAAGAGAGTAAGGCTATATAGGTGAAGCTCATGTAAGCTGGGGAGCAGCTGCCGGTGGCGACTCCGGAACCCATTGAATCGGGCAACCACTTTTGGATGTCCCCACATCAGGAAGGTAAGACCGACCGAACAGGCCCGAAGGCAAGCTCAACTCACAGCTTGCTCTCGTGTTGTGAATATAATCAAGTCACAAGCTCGGGTACATCGGTGCAATCCTCTTTCACTGAATTGTCCAGACCGAGCTGTACAATGAACGGTTGGAGGATAACCTCATACACTGGGAGCGGACCACTTTCAGTGTTGAGTTTGCGCATAACAACCGTCCATTAAACGCCGGAGTCTGGATCTTTCAGAGAGAGAAAGACTGATATACACCGGTATGACCGTGGTTTAATAGGAAAAAGAAAAGAAGAAACCGGGGGGGGGGGGCGAAGTCTCATGCGCAAATGGCACGCGATGGCGATCGCTGCGAATCCTGGCAACATACCTTGGAGTTCAATGAGCCCAAGTTCAATTCGAGACCGAAACCCGTATCGCCGACTGTCCCAGACAAGAGTAGATCGCAATGATTCGTGATCGCGTCTGTTGGCGCATCCCTCAGATGAGCACATATCCGAGATAATAGACGTAGCCACATCCGACTTACCAGTCTATGTAGAAAACGAAACTTTTCTTTATGTTCTATCCAATAAAAGCAACGCAGCAATTTCCCGACCGAGTTATTGTTTCAATGACGATGTAGAGATCGTGCTTCGCACGAAGCGACCAGGCTTCAATCTAGACGAGAGGATGATATGTGAATCGGCGCTGTGCGACCGGTTGCAAGAGAAAGGATGTATGTCGCAAGTCGCACGAGACGGATCGACGGATATTTTTTTTAATATGTGCTTATTTGCCGTTGCGGATGCGTTCGCAGTCTGAAGTTGGGCTATAGTTCTGGCCGTGGCGCGAATCTGGTCTATGTGGAGGATGAGCCTCGAGTCGCGACGGGAAGGACCACCAGGTGCGCGAGATCGGGGATGGGTTGTATGACCATAAGACGAATGACGTTGAAAAGCAAACTGGCTCCAGTGATTCTAGGCAGATTGCCCTAGGAGCAGCGCATTTTGAAACTGATCACGGCAGCGAGGAAGCGGCAAGCGTGAAAATTGTAGCAAGGGAACTATTTGCTGACTCCGCTTGAATTAGCACGTTTCGAAGGAACGAAGGAACGGTTTCTGGGTCGGGCGAAGTGAATGGAGGAAGAGGAAGAATGACGGAGAGAATGGTGATGGTGAACGACGTACCGAGCGCGGAGCGGCGTAAATTGCACAGACGTTTGGAGGGGATAAAGTGGGAAAAGCGGGCTTCTGCAACGTTGCTTGATCGATGACGATCGTCGGGGGGAATGTGTGGAGTGAGGTGGTGCTGGTGTGGTGGTGTGACCGGAGGTACCTTATCGTTCAGGGCGGGAAAGGAAATCAAGAAAGGGAAGATTGGAGGACAACAAAGTTGAAATAAGAAAGGGGGGAGGGAGAAGAAGAGAGATGTAAGAAAGAGAAAGAGGAGATGTGGGAATTATCAGGGTAGAAGATAAAAAGAGGAGAAGGGAAGAGAGGTTGTACAGTCGTAAGTTGCGTAAGTTGTAAGTGGGTTGGGGTCAGGATGCGAAGGGGAGAATAGTGCAAGCTAAAGGGAGGGAGAGGAGCTTCTTCGTTCGACTTGAAATGGACCTCAGGCCACTTGGACTGGAACACGAAAGGAGGAGGCGACGGCGACGGAGGAGGAAGAAGAGGGAAGAGGAGAGGACGAGCCACGGGTCGGGGGAACAGCCCAGCAGAAAGTGGCGCAAAGTGAGTGGTCAAGAAGCAGCTAAAACTGCTGCTAAGTACTAGAGGCCGGAGGGAGTTTAGTTCAAGAGTCAGTCAAGTCAAGTCAGGGTAGGGATGGATCATGGATGGGTGGGTGGATGATGAGATGAGATGAGATGCGATGCGATGGATGGGATGGGATGGGATGGGATGGGATTGTCCTTTTGCTCCTTCCTTATGTCTAGTCATCTGTTCGCTTAATTGTCTATTCTCTTCATTTCTTTCTCTTTAGTATTTACACCTTTCCTCTACCACAGTCGTCATTCTTCAAGTCAGATCTGGTTCCATTATATGATTTTCTTTTCTGCCTCGGTCGCGATCTCCATTCGAATCAGACCCAGCTTGAGGATGATGGGCCGATACTTTTTTTTCTACAGCTCCAAGCACACTAAACCACGGCTAAGGGGCACCCAGCTCGCTTTGGGGCGGGGTAGCAAATCGACGGGAGTCTAGATACCTTCTGGAGCCAAGGGCCACACGGGAGGGGAAACAATGACTGTGACCGAGGCATTTGGTCGTGACGGATTGGCTTTCCGGGCGAGAAATTGATTGAGTGAGCAGGAGGAAAGAATAAGCAGCAGCCCATCAGAAAAAAAGAGCAGAAACAGAAACAGAAACAGAAAGCAAAAGCGAATTCCGAGTTGATGGGAAAGGGAAAGAAGGTAACATGACAGGCAGCAAGCAGTACAGAAGCTCGGCCATCGATGGAACGCCCGCAAGTGGGCCGGGCGGGCCCCTCCAGCAACTAACATCGATCGCCAAATGCTCCGGTCATTATTATTTCTTCTCTGTAACCCCAAGCAAAAGTATGTGCGCGCACACCTTCTTCGGTGACTTCCCTCCTTCCATCCTCCTTCTTCCTCTTGCTCACTTCTCACATAGCCCTTCTCTTCACGATCACGACACCTTCACGACATCTTTTCAACATCAATCGGAACTCGGCCAGACAGACCAGCAGCGGGCTACGGTTGAATCTGGATCAACCGTCGTTGAGATTCCTCAGCGGAACTAGCTACGTGCGAACCAGAACGATAGCCTCTTCAGATAGCGTGGACCGAACGGATTGTACACAAATGACACGGGCTAACCAAACTGTCCTACTCAATTGGGTTCGAGGTGAACAAAGAACCTGTCCCCGCGCTTATGCCATCACCCCGAGCCAGCCAAACCGCATCTTACATCAGTGTGGCCGGTAAGGAAGAAGAGAATAAATGACATGGTGCAGCAATGCAGAATCCTCATGCATGCAATAAGACGAGCGATGGTATTATTGCAGTATTTAGAATACTCAGATACAGGACTTTCCAACAGAGTTCATCCGCCCGTCTGCCCAAGAAAGGACCCTTCAGGGGGGGGGGTTCAGGACCGGTTGGGTATCATCAGGGACAACTCGTCAACGTCATTCTGGCGTCAAGTTTCACAAGCATGAGAGCTTTAGGAAAAAAATAAAAGAAATGTGGTTATGGAACCATCAGAGCCAGCAATCGACTGGGAGCTCCCTGCCCCTGGTTCAACCCTCCTCCTCTGCTATGCTATGAGTAAGTTAGCATTAGCTCCGTACAGTACGTACTGTACCTCTACCCACGTACTGACTAGAAATCACCTCCACCAGACATCAGCCGTGCCTGCGTTACATAATGACCACCCTACAGACGCCATGCGTCGGATTGCGGGGGGAGAATCGCCCTTCCAAGTGCTCCAGAGGTCCTAAATGCCCATACATGTACAAGCGCAAGTAAGGGAGGAAGGGAAGGGGGGCGGGGAGTGGCAATTCATTGGTCTCTCTAAGGCCCATGCAGGATCGCCTCCGTCCGAAAGTGCGGAGAGAGCTTTCCCGCTTTGAGAAGCCCCCCGTCAGCCCTCCGTCTCGTCTCGTCTCGTCTCGTCTCGTCTCGTCTTTTTGCCTTTTGCCCCCAGCATCGCATCAACTCAACTTTTCTCTCAGTTTCATGCCTCGGGTTTCATCCTCGCTCTTTCTTAAGTCCTGAACTATCGACAAAAATGATTCATGGACTATGGAACGTGGTGAGATGATGACAGTGGTGCAACAGAGTTCGCGCAAAAGATGAAAGAGAAATTGATAGTGAACCGGTCTCCATCCGTGGTTCTCGGGCTCGTAGGCTTTTGCGGCCCAGCCTCTCATAAGCGATGGGCTTGTTAGACTACTAGGTAGTAGACCCCGGTCCTGCCAGGCCAACTGGTTACACTTGCTCACTACGAGCTTCCAGTTTACACTCCACCCCACTCGGGCGAGATGGAAATGGAATCAAACACAACTCACCTTTCCCTCTTATCCAACTGGTTCGGATTATCAGAATGCGCAACCCTCCGAAGTCCGTTATTCCTAGTAGTATATGGCGAGAGAAATCTACAACCCAACCTGAACCACCACCTCAACCACAACCCAGAGTCAGGTGAAAAGCTCGCCACACCCTGTTGTACAGTACCTACTGTGTGGCTTTTCCTGTCGCGCCCCGCAACCCATGGCATCCATACTGCCTCCCAGTGCCAGCCAGCCAGCCAGCCAACAAAATCAAAAAAAAGCTATAATATGACTCAAAAGCCGCCAGGTACCACCGCCGTCTCAATCAAATAAGGTAGGGTGGATGGTGTAGTAGTGTAGTAACGCACGCCTCCCTCCGGCTCCGAAGCGTGGCAACTTTTCCATCTCTTTCATTTCTTCCCCCAAAGGTCCGGTAAAAATGTCCAGACCACAGCAGCCAGCATCCTGCTGACGGAAGGAGCATGAGCGTTGAAGCACCAACCTTGACCCCCTCAATGACCATATCACACCGAGTCGAGCTTCATTGGCGGGCGAAACCTGCCAGAACACTTTCCTACCCGTGACTACATTGTGTCCACCCTTTTTTTTTTTCCCAGGGTGATCCCAAACCCCCAACCCCAACCAACTCTCATTTTCATTTCGATTTGAGAATGCCATTGACTA